TGCTGAACACTCCACACGCTGATGCTCCCCTTCCCTATTTCACCAACTATTGGGAGAGGGACCTGGGATGAGAGGTCTGAACTCCCCACTTCCCCTTTTCTCCCCTTGAATTCCACCTTCTCCTTCTTGACTCATGCCTTAAATTCCTCTTGCACTTCTACCACTCTTACCCCCTCTCTGTACTTGATCTCCCCCCTCTTCCCCTCTCCTCTCCCCCGCTCTCTCTCTTAGAGGACCTGTGTGTCCTACTTTCCACCTCATACACCACCTACATATCTAGAATGCGACACACACTCTCTGAGACGCCCACATACACGGACCCTCTCCCAAACGAGAGTGGACTACCAAACACCATTACATCTTGTGACGAGACCAATCTCGCCACATTGCATTGGAGGAGCCTGGTTGCCCACCTGCTGCCTTTGGATTATGGACCGGCAGCTAAAGGGTTCATTTTACTGTGCAGAAGGATTTATTTCTCCCTTTCTGCACAGCCGTTCGGTAGATTCTATCTACCGAACAAACAGTTTCTTTTCAGCCTCCCCAGAGGGGAGGAATGTTTTAACCCAGATAGCTATGCCATGGCATAAAGCCTGTTCGTGGAATTAAAGACTTTGGCTCCATGGCAATTTAACTGTATTCGTGTGGTCTGTGTGCCATTCACCTAATAATGTCCAGACCTGAGCTATCTGGGGATATGTTACATGTATATATTTACTGTACCATTTGTCCCATTATGTATTTTAAAGTGATAGGAGATAATTGAATTACTTCTCCAGGGCCGAGGTGAGGGAGCCAGGATGCATTGTGGGGATGTTTTACTTCTGTATGTCTGTAATTGGTACATGTCTGTCTTTTGTTACAGTCTTCCATCTGGTCCCCTAGGGGAGTGTCCACCAGGTGGGAGACCTGCATAAATACTGGGCAGGTAGCCCTCATTAAACAGACCACTGCTTGACCCTCAACACGGAGCCTTGTCTCGTCTTTGGGGGGATTTACTGTATGCTGATAGAGACTGATTGCCAGGAGTGTAAGCCGCTTGGGTGCTTTTCCTGTTCGTCTGCTAGCAGCTATTCGTGAGGTTCCAGTTCGGGTGTTTGGAGCATTCCCTTGTATGCAGTTCGAGTGTTTAGAGCATTCCCTTGTATGCAGTTCGAGTGTTTGGAGCATTCCCTTGTATACAGTTCGGGTGTTTGGAGCATTCCCTTGTATGCAGTTCGGGTGTTTGGTGCATTCACTTGTATTCAATTCGTGAGTTTTGTTGATTCTACAGTAGCTGTGCCTGTCTCTGAAAGGGGATTATTGTCTAAGCGTTTTTTACCCCTTTTGTGCAAAACGGTCCGTTACAATTGGTGGCAGCGGCGGGATCGTTCCTACAGTCAGAAGGACAGCTACAGGAGACACAATTTCTTTGGATTTTACAATTTGTGGGCAACGCATGTTTTAGTACAGCGACCCTGACAGCACCAGGATGGAACCAGCAGTGGAGTATGATGAGGGTGCCATGGATGACCGAGATGCAGTCCTTAAAGGCATCTGGTACCAGGCACTGGGTATTGCGGAGTATCAGCGGGGCGAGAGATTCCCCAAGGAAGACCAATGGTTGCAGAAGCGAGTAGCCCTGCGGATGCCCTTCCTGGGAGAGCAGCCCATGGAGGAAAGGGTGAGGAAATTGGAACACCTAGTATGGCAGGAGATGTGGCTAGAAGATGCCTACCAGGCGCTCTGGTGGTATGGGGCACAATACCTGCCCTGGACAGCCGAGCATGACAAGCCAGAGGGAGAGGAGTTTGATGGTCCTGGCTTGTTATGGGAGACTTTTGCAGAGCCTGAGTTTGGGAGCCCTACACAAGCCCGGTTCAGTGATCTCTTTGAGTGGAGGGAGAGCAGGTATGACTGGGACGACACTCACGAAATTGAGCAAGACCTGGTCCACCTGGTGACCCAAGAGATGGAGCTGGAACAGGGTTACCAAAATCTGTTCCACTCCAGTGAGAAGGCTCAGCAGGGAAGCGGAGACCCAGATCCAGACCCATTCAGCTGGGAAGATATTGTGGAGTGTTACTGGGAAGAACCCCAGGTGGCCGGTGGAGATGGGACCGAGGTCTCTCCACCGGTCCTGCAGGGAATTGGGAGCCCAGTCTCCATTCCCCAGCGGCCGTGTGATTTATTGGGAATTGGGAGCCCAGTCTCCATTCCCCAGCGGCAGTGTGATATGCCGGTAATTGGGAGCCCAGTCTCCATTCCCCAGCGGCAGTGTAAAGTGCAGGGAGAGGAGAGCTGCGTCCTCCCTCCCCAGCGGCAGGCTGAGTTACAGGGGGGCAGAGGTAGTTGTTCCTATCCCCCAGCAGCAGAGTGATATGCCGGGAAGGCAGTGTGAAGTGCAGGGAGAGGAGAGCAGTGTCCTCCCTTCCCAGCAGCAGCGTGATTTTTTGGGAATTGGGAGCCCAGTCTCTATTCCCCAGCGGCAGTGTGATGTGCCGGGAATTGGGAGCCCAGTCTCCATTCCCCAGCGGCAGTGTGATGTGCCGGGAATTGGGAGCCCAGTCTCCATTCCCCAGCGGCAGTGTTATTTGTTGGGAATTGGGAGCCCAGTCTCCAGTCCCCAGCGGCAGAGTATCCAGCAGGGAATAGAGAGCCCAGTCTCCTTTCCCCAGCAGCAGGACTCTGTATTGGGAGGAGAGACAGTCGGTCTCCCTCCGCAAAGACTGGAAGTATGTCTGGGAGAGGAGCTCGTTACCACCTCTCCCCAGCGGCGGACCATTAATGGGCAGGGAATAGAGAGCCCAGTCTCCATTCCCCAGCGGCAGAGTGTTCTATCGGGAGAGGAGCTTGTTACCCCCTCTCCCCAGCGACAGCTTAATGTACCAGGGGGAGACTGTAAGCCCCACACCTGTGCAGATGGGACCGTGGTATCTGCACTTACCACACAAGGGGTAGGGACGGTCGGTCCTATCCCCCCACGACAGGGCTGTTTAGCCAAAGGGGAGACAGTCGGTCTCCTCCTTCGGCAGCAGAGCTGTGTATCCAAAGGGGAGACAGTCGGTCTCCCCCTCCGGCAGCAGAGCCGTGCACCTAAAGGGGAGACAGTCAGTTTCCAGCAACCAGGCTCCAACCAGACTACTCCGTTGGTAGTACTGGCACAAGGACAGAGTACCGCTGGTCTCTGCCCACTCAGCAACCCACCAAGGCTGGTCTCCCTTTCTGCACAGCCGTTCGGTAGATTCTATCTACCGAACAAACAGTTTCTTTTCAGCCTCCCCAGAGTCATGGGAAGCCGGCCGGTGACCTTAATTGGCCACCCAGAAGCTGGAGTACGCCCTCCATTTACCTCCCTGAAGCCGCGGTTAACCGCGGCTTAACGAGCGTGTGTCGGCAATTGACCACCCAGTAGCTGAGGTCTGGAAACAGCAAGCCTAGCGTTACTTTGGTAGATGTTACTGATATACTGTAATACAATACTAGCTATATGACTGTCTCTTTCGATGTTGATGTAATTTCTCTTTTAATGCGCCACCCTTTGGCTATACTGCTTTCAGATAGCTATGCATTCTTAGTTCAAATGCATCCTTCTTATAGTATGTACCTCTCAACTTAATAAACTTTGAATAAAAAACTACTTTATGGTTTCAATGTCGTGTACGGTTTCATACACTTGGGATCAATACTGTCCAGTACGTCTACAAGGGTTTGGATACATTCAAAATTTTTAGTTGTGAGTCCTAGACCACTGGCTTTCCTTTCCATCTGTATTCTGTTGATTTTATGCAAGGCCAACTTTCTTGCAAAGAGATGAATGTCTTTAACCCATTTTCAAATTTATTAAATGTACGAATGACAATCCCTTTAACAGTACACTTGCTTGGGTTCTAGTCAATACGGTATCAGACAAATTGATGATCCTAGTATCCTAGTATTCTGGGGCTAATTGTTTCCTTCTTCTCCCTCTGTATCGAGTCTGTCTGACCCTGAGGGTCAGACAGACTCGGGGTCACTGGGTTTTGACTCCCTGTGAGTATCTATAATTTAGTATTTTTTTTAACAGTCCTCTTTGTTATTTTATTAAGGATCAATTGTGGTTTAGCTTGCTGGGTAGGGATGTGCATGGGCAATAAATTCGGTTTGGTTCGGCACTTCCGAAATTCGTGAATTCAGCAATTTGGCAATTTCCTAACCCTAACCCTACCTCTAACCCTTCCCCTAACCCTATCCCTAACCCTACCCCTCACCCTATCCCTACCCCTTACCCTACCTCTAAACCTACCCCTATCCCTAACCCTACCCCTACCATTAACCCTAACCCTATCCCTAACCCTAACTCTAATTAGGAGACTCCATATGTATATGTATATATATATATATATTCTTCTGTTAGGTTTATTATTATAATTTTTTACTGATTATTTGAGTCCTTTAAATACTTCTGATTTAAAAAAAAAATGTGTGAAATGTTAAATAAACTTAATTTATTTATTTTTTTAGGGAATTGTTCATTTCCATTTTTCCTGTTTTATTAGGGGTTCTTTAGTAAATAAAAATGGGACAAAAATTCTGCCTCTCTGGCCTGAAATTCCTGATTGGCTTAGAATTGACACAGAAGAACACGTATATTTTTAAAGGCATAATAAGGTTATATGTTCTGGATAAACATCTCTCATGACCAAACTGAGATCATGCAAGCAGGACCGTAAAAGGCCATCACAGGAAGCGGCTGTGAGAGGTGAATGACATTCTGCTGGAGTTCCCTAATGATTACATAAATATTTTAAAGTTCAAGCTTTTGCAATGGTACATATGTGACCTGCATTTTTTCCATCGATGCACTATCTTATTGCAAATATATGACCTCAACGTTCCAATAAATGTGACGGCATTCTAAATTCAAGGATAACCTACCTCAGTGTTTCTTTAATGACAACCTTCAGCAATGGCATCTTCGAGATGTCGTCTGCAGTGGGTATAGTTTCTCCAGGGACAATCCCTGTCACCTCTTTATAAAGCTGGTCCTCTATCTCCGTGTTTTGTGCCAGATGATACAGAGCCCAGGACAGTGTGTTGGAAGTCTGGAGAGAGAGAGAAGAATATTATCACAGCGCCACCACATGGTGAGGGCAATACAATGCCATATCTTCTTCTATTAGACAAGCGGTGGGGGGAGCAGTGATATGCAAGCTATGATGTTTATTTAGCCCAGGAACCATTATGGACAATCACACCCTGCATCATGTTATAAAATTGCACAAAGTGTTTTTCATGGAGTTTGTTGAACAATCTTTAGGCTGGATTTTATGTGAAAAACTATTTATTAGAATATGATTCATTTTTAATGTACCTGAAGTAAAGGAATTACTATATTCCTATAATTTACCTACTGAGAGGAGTAGGGGACACTGAACTCTCTAGTTCCTGTGCATTAAATTCCTAGCTGGGCAGCTGAGGACAATAGGGGTTGCAGTTCAAAGTGCTTGATACATGTACGTATATATACAAGAGGGAAATTTGAAAGGAACACTATAGGCTCAGGGACACAAACATGTATTCCTGACCCTATTGTGTTAAAACCACCATCTAGCCCCCCTGATCCCCTCTTGCCTCCCTAAATAAAGTAAAATCTTACCTGAATTCAAGTCTGCAGCTGCTGGCTCTGCCCCTGATCTGCCTGCTTACAGCTAAAAAATCATCAGAAGTGATTCTGTGAGCCAATCACAATGCTTTTCCATAGGATTTGCTGAGACTGTCAATGAGGCAGATCAGGGGCAGAGCCAGCCCTGGCCAATCAGCATCTCCTCATAAAGATCCATTGAAGAGCTCTGTAAGGGTCGCCATTACATCTTCCCCTGGAGCTTCCGGTAGGTCACGCACCCTAAGATTATTCCTACGGCCCCTGTTGTCTAAGTCATCTATCTGACATTGGATTGAGAACATATATTGTGAGAAGGTGTCTAGCGTAGAGGAGAGATGCTGGATTTGGGACTGTAATACATCTTCACTTTTTCTAAGTCAGTAACTTTGTGACTTACTTGTTGGATGTCAGAGCCCATCGCTTCCAGCTTTGTTTGAAAGGTAGCTTCCAGCCTGCCCAGCATATTGGCTAAATCCGCTTTCAACGGCAGGTTCATTATCAGCTCCCTGATGTCAGAGTCTTGGGACATCTCCTGTGATTTATAAGAGCCTTCAGATGGCACTGAGCTAGATGGAGAGGAGTCGGTTTGGTTTTCCGTCGGTGACATTTTGTTTCCCGCGGCCTCTGACTCGCAGTCCGTTGTATCCTAAAATATCGAGTTAGAGAGCCTGATTTTGCCAAGGGAGTTCTCCCTGATGTACTGTGAGAGGTATTCTGTCTCTTGGGGTTCCCCATATTTGAGTATAGTCTCTGATTAGAGTGGATTGTCGATCGAGCTGCGAGGAGCTGAACTAGAGCACGTCCATTCAGCTCCGCGGTAGGCCATGCCCCAAATTTCCACTTTCATGCAAACTATTTTTTTTTTTCATTTTTTCAAATATTTAATTGTTATTTACTTACAGTGTCCACTCCGGTCAATAGCAGTTCAGCCACACTGCCGTACACTTCCTTAGGTGTTAGCTCCCCACTGGATAGTAAATACGGTTAGTATTCACCCTTTACTTCTTCACCATGGTCCAAACGATCCTGTATGGTCTGCATCTTCTGGTCAATCAACTTTTTTGCTAAATTGGAAAATTGAGATTATCAATGTTACCAGTACAAGACTGTAACGAGGAGAGGATTCTTCTAATAAAACTGCACACCAAAGTTAAAGATATTGTCCCAGCTTTCTATGTAGTATTTAAAGAATGGCAGGATGTCATTGGTCCAGTGTGGAAGGAGAAACACAATCGTAATGTACTTCATCATGTCAGCGATGGAATTTATGAAGTTCTGAGTCTCTGCAGGCATCTGATTCTTCAAGCAACCGACCCGTGTTTCAAACAGAATGTAAGAAATACCTAAAATAAGTGAACAAGAAGTTGTATGACTTCTGTAAAATAAATAGCTACTCTAAAGATAAAGTTCTCGTAAAGACTAAAGAGAAGTAAGAAAACAAGGTTCACATGCTCTCAGTCAGTCAGATGTTTTCCTTCACTGGGTCCTTAGGTGTTAGCTCCCCACTGGATAGTAAATACGGTTAGTATTCACCCTTTACTTCTTCACCATGGTCCAAACGATCCTGTATGGTCTGCATCTTCTGGTCAATCAACTTTTTTGCTAAATTGGAAAATCGAGATTATCAATGTTACCAGTACAAGACTGTAACGAGGAGAGGATTCTTCTAATAAAACTGCACACCAAAGTTAAAGATATTGTCCCAGCTTTCCATGTAGTATTTAAAGAATGGCAGGATGTCATTGGTCCAGTGTGGAAGGAGAAACACAATCGTAATGTACTTCATCATGTCAGCGATGGAATTTATGAAGTTCTGAGTCTCTGCAGGCATCTGATTCTTCAAGCAACCGACCCGTGTTTCAAACAGAATGTAAGAAATACCTAAAATAAGTGAACAAGAAGTTGTATGACTTCTGTAAAATAAATAGCTACTCTAAAGATAAAGTTCTCGTAAAGACTAAAGAGAAGTAAGAAAACAAGGTTCACATGCTCTCAGTCAGTCAGATGTTTTCCTTCACTGGGTCAGGTCAGTACATCTCAAACTTGTCCATGGGAGTCAATAACAGGCCAACATTTTACGATATCCCCAACATCTCTGAAATCCTGGGTTAACATCTTAACACAATAGACTTTATCAGTGTCCCAGACAGATCCGCTGACATACAGTGTATCCTCAAATCATGATCCCTTGGAGAATCCTGTGAACAGGTATGATCAGGGTTGGACTGAGAGTGGTCTGGGCCCCATGGACAAAATTAGGACCTGAGCCCCCTGCAGACCACTATATATGCTGGTCTAGATGTTCCATGTATTTGATTGTATGTGCATGTAAAATGCATGTATGTTTTTTTGTGTAAATTCACCGTAAGCCCTAGTGTAAGTGAATATATGTATGTCTTTGTTTGCAGTGTCAGGATATGTGAATTCAGAGTATATTTACACATGTTTTTTTGGGGAGGACAGGGGTGGAGGGGGTATGGTGTATGCAGGGGTTGCAGGTGGTACAAGTGTTCTAGTGAGTATAGGGGGTATAGTGGCTCTGCCTCCAGTGACATGACTAGGGGGGCCTGAGGAGCCCATGCCCCCCAAATCATGCCGTGCCCCCAGGTGCGCCCCCCCCATATGTAGGGACATATGTATCAAGGGGTGTGCGAGCACAGCTCACACAGGTCCGGCTACCTGGGTGGAGGAATTCATTATTCTCCACCCGGGATAATGAAAAAAACAACAACAAAATGGGCTTACCTGCGGCAGGGGCATGGCCAAACAATGGCGGTGCCAGAGCTAAAGCCCTCAGAAGATGTGGGTAACTGCTGCACAGTAAGCATGAAGCAGGAAGGAGTCCCTGTTTCCCAACATCCAGACAACAGGAGCTGCACTGCCTCCACTTCTCCCTTCCAGCCCATAATGGACTGAGGTAACTGTGTGTGTGTGTGTGTGTGTAAATGTGTGTGTGACTGTAGCTGTGTGTGACTGTAACTGTGTGTGTTTGACTGTAACTGTGTGTGTGTGTGTGTGACTATCTGCCTCTGTGTGTGTAGCTGTCTGCCTCTGTGTTTGACTGCTTGTGTGTGACTGTAACTGTGTGTGTGTGTGTGTGTGTGACTGTCTGCCTGTGTGTGTGTGACTGTCTGCTTCTGTGTGTGGCTGTCTGCCTGTGTGTCACTGTAACTATGTGTGACTGTAACTGTGTGTGCGTCACTGTCTGACTGTGTGTGTGATTTTTTTGCACAGGGCATCTAAAGGCCTAAGGCCAGCCCTGGTTGCATCCTACCCAAAATGACCGCATGGACATCCCTGGTGCTTCCTTCTGTCATGGAGGAAGCAGTTTATGGACCACTGAGGCGGGTGACTGTGAGCACATCAGAGGCGGCAAGGGAGTCATAATCCTCCTGCTCTGCTCCCTTGCGCACCGTCTACTGATGCCGGGAGCTGGAATGTGACGTCATATTCCAGCTTCCTGCATCAGTAGACGGCCGGCAAGGGAGCAGAGCAGGAGGATTACAACTCCCTCACTGCCTCTGATGTGCTCACAGCTGCCTGCCTCACAGCTGCCCCAGTGGACCCCAGGGACAGATCCACTCCAGTTCTCCCAAAGATATGGAGACTGGGTGGACCAATTAATATAATAATATTAGTAATTTGTGAGTGTGTGTGTGAGAGAATGTGTGTGTGTGTGTGTGTTTGTCAGTGAATGTGTGTGTCTGTCAGTGAATTTGTATGTGCTTGTCTGTGAGTGTCTGCCACACCAGTGAGAGTCTGTGTTTCTCATTAAGTGTTTGTGTGCCTGTCAGTGAATGTGTGTGTGTGTCACTAAGTGTATCTGTGTTTGTTAGTGAATGTGTGCATGTCAAATCAGTGAGAGTCTGTGTGTTTGTCATTGAATGTGTGTGTGACGGTCAGTGTGTATGTCCATGAGGCATATTTCATGCGTTTTCTGTATTACCGCAGCTACAGATGGCATGTCTGCTTTGAGCCAGTTTTGTGCCAGCGTTAGCCAGGCTGCTAGTGTAAGTTTGGTCCGGTTTGGTCCAGTCGTCCTTGGGGCAGGATGATAGGAATACCCATGGGTCTATGTCGACATTTCATTGGAAAACCTTTGCTATTAGGGCCCCCACCTGTCTCCAGAAGGTCTCCACAACTGGACATTTCCACCACATATGGACAAAGGTCCCCTTTATCCAGCACAACCTCCAGCAAAGGTCGCTTGGGGGTGTTGCCCATGCGGTGCGTTTGTAGCGGTGTCACGTACCAACGGAACATCATCTTGTATGTTTGTTCTTGGAGGGTGGTGCATATTGATACTGCTGTGTTGGCTTTCCAAATCTCCTGCCAGTCTGCGCCCTCTAGTGTCTCCCACAAGTCTGCCTCCCATTTATCCGTGTATGTCAGTGCACCCCATTCGGTTGTAGTAGAGGTTAGGTGTGAGTATAGTAAGGAGATCATACCCTGGGGGGTCGCTTCTTTAAGGCAGATGTGCAGAATCCTGTCATATGTTGGGCCGCTATTTCCTGTATGTGTGGTTTGCTCACATAGTCTTTGAGCTGTAAGTTTCGAAAGAAGTCCCCTGGTCTGAGGTTCCCCCTGCCGGTGAGTTCGTCGAATGTTGTCAACCTGTTGCCCGTGTATATGTGGCATAACCTTTGGAGCCCTGTCTGTTCCAGGAATGGAGTAACTTTTTAATTGGTTAAAAATGTCAATCGTAAGACTGAACTTGGTAATTTGAGAAAGTGGTAGATATTAACAGACCTCTCTCTGTTTCCAGACCTACGTGCTACGCATAGACAATAAATTCCATGAATGATGGGTTGGTGAAAGGAATTTTTTAAACACACTCTGTAAATGGACCATAGGCCCTGCTATTACGATGCACTTTAGAAAAGATTCATGTCGGTTCTCATTGGATATTTTCCCTCCTGTTTTAGGATGGTTTGTATTAAATCCACATCATCAACATCCACCACTCTTTGTTGTCCCATAGACATTTTCCACATTGGGCCACATTTCTTCTTGAAAATGATCTGAACTGTTACAAAATGAATTAATTTAATCACAATATGAATTAATCAGTAACTGTGTTTCAGCAGAGTTTACATTAACCCCTTAAGGACCAAACTTCTGGCATAAAAGGGAATCATGACATGTCACACATGTCATGTGTCCTTAAGGGGTTAAAGGGACACTATAGTCACCAGAACAACTACAGCTTATTGAATTTGTTCTGGTGAGTAGAATCATTACCTTCAGGCTTTTTGCTGTAAACACTGTCTTTTCAGAGAAAATGCAGTGTTTACATTACAGCCTAGTGATAACTTCACTGGCCACTCCTCAGATAGCTGTTAGAGATCCTTCCTGGGTCATGGCTGCCTAAAATGCATCCAAACATTCAGTATCTCCTCCCTCTGCATGCAGACACTGAACTTTCCTCATAGAGATTCATTGATTCAATTCATCTCTATGAGGAGATGCTGATTGGCCAGGCCTGTGTTTGAATCATGCTGGCTCTGTCAGTTTCAGCCAATCCTATGGGGAAGCACTCTGATTGGATCAGGCTACCACTTCTAATGATGTCAGCAGACTGCTTGTTTTTCTGAGTCTAACAGTATGCAGAGTTACAGCTTCAGGCTTGAATACAGTAAGATTTTGCTATATTTATGGAGGCATGAGGAACCCAGGGGGTCTAGATGGTGGTGTTAACACTATAGGGTCAGGAATACATGTTTGTGTTCCTGACCCTATAGTGATCCTTTAACCTTCCCTAGCTCAGAATATTAATGGACGGGTTCACTAAAAGCCCACTTACAAAAAGTTCTATAGTAGAAATGATTCACGGGTTGATTTATGAGAGGATTTCAAATTGAAAGGGATACTTCACTGCCTAAATAATACAAACATACAATAAAAATCACAGTTTAGTAGATATACCCCCAATGACAACATGCATGCACTTAATTTTGCTTTTTTTATCGGGGTGTATCTAAAACCAGATAGATAAAACAATAGGACTTCTGGCGCTTGTCTGGTAAGAGTGTGTCAGCTTGTATTGCCCAAATCAGAGTCTTTTCTTTCTGGCCGTGAAGTAGTACTGTGTATAAAGGGGCATAGGGAAGCAGCGCCTTCAGAATGTTCTCAAATCCCTATAGTATTCAGGTAGTATGTAATGAGAAAAAAGAATAAAATAGAATATAGTGTAGTATCTCCTGAAGCTAATAAATAAAGTAAGTAGAGTAACACAATTTTCTGGAGATTTTGATCAGCTCCAGATAGGTTTGCTTGGGCGGTATGATCCCCGCCTGTGGATATGTACATGGTCCTGGTCCTATGCTTCCAGGCCGATCCGTCACTCTTGATGACAAGCATTGAGGTTGCAGCGTTGTGACTGTGGAAGTTCATCAGTATATGTGATGAGAACAAAAACAATATAGTGCTCTCTGTATAATTAAGATAAAATAAATAAAAGGAAGTATATTCACATAAGGAGAGCAACAGTAGTTTTGCTTAATCCTAAACATCGTAGGTAACAGTGTGAGTCTTCTGAATAAAATCTTTAGGGATAAAATCAGGAAGGCCAGGTGTAGTAAAAAACTAGTTTTATTTAAGACAGAAAATAAAATACCAAATAAAAACCAATATATAGCATAAAAACACTACCTTTGCTCTCCTTATGCGAGTATACATCCTTTTATTCATTTCACCTTAATTATACAGAGAGCATTATATTCTGTTTTTTTTTTTCATCCCATATACTGATGAACACCTACTTCCACACCACTGAACACTAAATGAAAGTACATGATAAATTCTGTTGATGTCAGCAACGAGGCAGATCGGTGGTGGGGCTAGCTGGAAATAAGGTAAGTTTTATTATTTTATGCTGGGGCTAGGGGGTGAGGAGGAGGGGGCGAGAGGGGGTAACCATCAGTATAGGATCAGGAATACATGTCTGTGTTCCTGACTCTATAGTGTTCCTTTAAATAAGTATTTATCTCAAACTATACATTTGCTGGTAAAACTGCTCACACAATGTATAGACACAATTTTATGCTATTTTAAAAGAGCATATGTTATAACAGCAATGACAGGTATTCTTTTCAAATCGCCGACACGATAGACGTACTCAGATTCTGTGCATCAGAGGAACACAGATTTGTGAAAATAGTAAAGCCTATTTTTATTTAACCAATAACTGAAGAGAATGACAATTTGTATCACTGACCCAAGTTCATTGCCCTTCAGTAGGTCTGTGAATACAGCAGGTATCCTCTCAGGAAGACCCAGTAGATGTTGTTGAGAAGTGACGGTCCAGGCAGATCATCAAATGTCTTCAATTTCTTTGCTACCCCAGCTGCAGCCCCTGCTGCAGCCCCTACTATGGTCCTGTTCTGAGTCCCAGTCACCCTGCATGTCTGCAGCAGCAAGAATCCCCTTCTCCTGCCCAGAGACTGCCAGCAGCGCAGGGATGCAGGAGTTAACATGTCTGGGTATTCAGAATAGCTTTTCCTGATTAGTTACAAGGTGTTCCAGCAATCATGGCGTCTATACTCTGACTGACAGTAAATAGAAACTCCTACTAGTTAAATAACATTGTCACCCCTCCCACAGTGAAAATGTCCCTTATTCCAGTGCACAGAATCCAGCTTTTACCGTGTGACAAACCGGCACAATGCATTATTTGTTTATCATTGTTTATTAGATAGAAGACATTCATTTTATTTGGAAAGGGAGTGAAGCCTCAGTTTTACAATTTTTAACTTATCTTAATGTCAACCAGTGGAATATTAAACTGACCCATGAAGTTAGCAATAAAGAAATTAATTGTTTAGATCTAAATATTTATACAAAAGGTGATAAAATTGAAACATGTACATTCTTCAAACAAGCCGATGTAAATAGCTTCATTGAGGAGAGTTGTCATTTTCATCCTTGGTTGGATAATATTCCAAGGGGACCGTTTCTAAGACTTAGAAGGAACTGTTCCGAAATAGATAAATATAACCTTCAGGCTAATTCACTCAAGAAGCAGTTCCTAGAAAAGGGCTACGAGGAGGGAGTCTTGAATAATACAATTGAAGAATAGGAAAACTAAATAGAGAGGATATATTGAAATACAATCAAAAGAAAGAAGGTAAGGAAATGGGAACAATCCCACAATTTTTTAACTTTAATAAGAACCACTCCCAACTGAAAAGTGTTTTAAATAGAAATTGGCACCTCTTGAAGCAAGATAAGGTAAGATATATAGCATCGTATATAGGAGCTAAACTTAGGGTCATATTTAGAGGAGCACAAAATCTCAAACAAATCTTAACCTCTAGCTTTATTAAGAAGATAAGAATTTTATTAATAGCCAGAAAAATTTATTTCAAGGTTTTAATTATTGTGGTAACTGCATGGGATGCAGGACATCGCAAATAAAAGAAAAGAAGATCTTGTCCTTTAATTCAAGTACCAATTTAAAGAAATATAAGATAGATACATTTATCACATGCAAAACAAAAAATGTTGTATTTGTGCTTGAGTGCCCTTGTGGCCTACAATATGTGGGTAAAACATCTAGGTGTGTGGCCACTAGGGTACGAGAGCATATAAAATATGAATGCCAGGACATATTTTACATGATATGCCCAGTCTGGGACTTTTAAATATGGCAGAGTGGAGGAGTGAAGACAAAAACCAAGGGATTTCTAAAAGAGCCTGAAAAGTCAGAGCCTACTATTGTGGCTCTGCAAAGTGTGAGTGAGATATTTATATCCATTTTTATATTTTATGTAAAAACAGTTTTATGCTATGTATTGATTTTCCACCTAGGCGGAATCCAAATGTGACGACCAAGTGTTAATAAGTATTTTATCTTATTATTTCACTTAAACTGCGCCCCCTACCTCTATCTGTGTTTGTATTGCTATAATTTGTGTTGTTTTTTTTAAATTCTTTATTTTAGTTGTGCATATGATAATAACAGTCGCTTGTGAGGTACCCCAAAGGCAGTCCTCTAGCGCATGATAAACAGTTTAAACATTAGGGTAGACTTTGGATCTAGCACATTTTTGGGGTTAGTAGTGTTATGATCAGTATATATTTACTTTGCTTAAGCATTTCAAAGCATAACACGGAACAACATCGCTTGTATCTTTCTAGATAGAAGGGTTTTACGCTATGTCATAAGCTAGTCAAACATAAAATAATTATACTAAACTTACATGAGCAAGAGTAAAGTAACACAGTATTTAACTAGGAGTTTGCAGGCTATAATCACAGAAGTATTTGGTCACTGATTGTTACTGATCTAGTTCACTGCACTGTCTATAAAATACACTCTAGCATCGAGACATGTGGTAGGTGCTAATATGGACATGCACAAAAATGTTTGTATTTCATACATCATGCAATAAACGTTTAAACATTTGTTGATTCGCAATGCCTCATTGTTACTTATAGCCAGAGTATAAACAAGTTAGGCTATGGCATATGGTAGTTGAGTGTATTTTCGACATGCCAGGTCATGTATACATATAACTTCGAGTGTCATAGCTAAGTACACTTTTGCTTATAGTTAAATATGTAGGTCTCATGTTAAACATAATAAGAGAAAATAATAAAATAAAATAAGAAATTAGGTAGGCTTGTTACTCGTGTTATAGACTGAAGCTTAAGGCATATTGGTAGTATGACCTATATGTGGGGGAAGGGGGGTTGCTGAGATATGGGACTCAAATCTTAAACAACTTAAGCACTTTAGAGCACTGTTAGGCAACTTAGTCTAAAGGGACATTGCTTGGCTTACTTGCAGGGCTGGCCTTAGGCAATTAGGCGCCCTGTGCAAAAAGTCTTCACGGCGCCCCCCCCCCCACCTCCCACCAAGTTGCCTGAATACAGTAACACACACAGGCACCGGGGACGTGTGTATCACGAGGCAAACAAGGCATCTGCCTTGGGCGCCACTTTGCAGGGGGCGGCAAAAAAAAGCATCCCTCCAAACCCCCAGGCAGATCCCTTGCTTGCCTCGCATCCTGGGGGGCTCAAGAGCTGACCGGCTGGCCACTTTTGAGCCCCCCCAAGGCTGGCAGCGGGCAGCGAAGGAGCATACTCACCTGAGCTCTTCCTGCTCAGCTTCCTCTGCGCCGCTTAATGAAGCCGGGAGCCAGAATATGACGTCAGTCCGGCTCCCGGCATCACTAAGCGCTGCTTACTCAGCCTGTGCACCCCCTGCCTGCCCGCCCAGCAGCCACACTGGACTGCTGGTAAGAAATCCACTCCAGCTTTCCCAGGGAGGCTGGGTGGATTTAAAATAAATGTAAAAAATATTAGTTTGTGAGTGTTAGTGGAAATGTCTGTGTGTGTGTCTGTGAGTGTTTATTTTGAAGTGAATGTGTGTGTGTGTGTGTGTGTCTGTAAGTGTGTAATTGTGTGTCTGTAAGTGTGTAATTGTGTGTGTCTGTAAGTGAATGTGTGTGTGTCTGTGAGTGAATGTGTGTGTTGGTCAGTGAGTGTATATGTGTCAGTCAGTGAGTGTGTATGTGTCAGTCAGTGAGTGTGTATGTGTAGTCAGTGAGTGTGTATGTGTCGTCAGTGAGTGTGTATGTGTCGTCAGTGAGTGTGCGTCTGTCAGTGAGTGAGCGTCTGTCAGTGAGTGAGCGTCTGTCAGTCAAAGTGCGGCCTTGACAGGAAGGGGTGGGGGAAATTTAAACTCGGTTACAGGCATGTACACACACACTCAGTTAAAGGCAGTCACACATACAGGCACAAGCACAAACAATGGCACAGCTACAGCGACACACACAGACAGACAGTCACATAGGCAGTCACACACACAGACAGACACACAGTAACACACACATAGACAGTTATACACACACAGGCAGGCAGTCACGCAGATAGAAAGTCACACACACAGGCAGGCAGTCACACACAGACAGATAGTTACAGACAGACACACACAGGCAGGCAGGCAGTCACATACAGGCAGTCACACACACAGGCAGTCACACACACAGACAGACAGTCACACACACAGACAGTCACACAGACAGACAGTCTCACACACACGGGCAGTCACAGACAGACAGTCACACAGACAGACAGTCACACACACAGGCAGTCACACACATGGCAGTCACACACACAGACAGTCACACACACAGACAGTCACACACAGGCAGGCAGTCACACACAGAGACAGTCACACACACACACAGAGACAGACAGTCACACACACACACACACACAAGGACAGGCAGTCACACAGACAGACAGTCACACACACACACAGACAGACAGTCACACAAACAGGCAAACAGTCACACACACACACTTACCTCTTTCCAGTGGATGCAGTTGGCTGATGGGGAAGCATCTTTCCCTCTTCCTGTACAGCAGGGGCTTCGGGAGGTATTAGCCCCGTCTCCGCCTCTCGATAAGCCCCGCCTCCGCCGCTCGGTAAACCCCGCCCCCTCTGCCGCGATTTTTTATTTTTTTTTATTTTTTTAAATAGACCTTTTAGCTCCCCTGCACTCCGGCCATGAGTGAGCTGTGTCGGCCACAGGGCGCCCCCTGTTCCATGGCGCCCTGTGCGGTCGCACAGCTCGCACACCCCTAAGGCCGGCCCTGCTTACTTGTCTGACATTGACCATTAGGGTTAGCATACCAAAAGAGTAAACATGCTTGAACTTAAATCAACAAGGTTGGTACAATATAAGCAAGATAGTGTCCGCTGGGGTGGGATGGAGGTGGTGATAAGGCAGCAGGCTAGCCCCAATGTGTTCCCGAAAGTCAGCCGACTCCCATAGTCGGTATGTTCTTGGTGCCTGCAAGTGAAGCATAGGTGGTGCTCAGAGGCAATGTCCACAGGTCAGTATTGCTTCTCCTGGCTGGGGTCTGTACACGTGTGTGGTAGTGGACTCGCCGTACCGTTTGGGCGTTCCGGCTGCGGCTCGATTTCCCCAGTCTCTGGCTCCGGGCCTTAGCGAGAGCCCCCGCCTTGTGTACATGGAGCCTTCCAGACACAGTGGTTGGCTCGGGGGCCCGCGGATTCTCCCTGTCCCGGGTGTCCCCACGGGTGTATGGACGGCATGGGGTAAGCCCCCGATGGGCTCCCAGCCCAGAAGAATGCCGGGTAGTCAGGGCGGCAGCTTTGTACGCCTTTTTGGTGGGCGATGCTGGATTGGTTTTTGGTTTGGGTTTACAGACCTCCCTCAGGTTTTGCGCTGGTAGGCCCGAGTTGCTCTGTTTGGGTTGTGGCTCGGCGGCCCTCTTGGTAGCGCCATGCTTGCTGCTTTTACGCCTCTCGCTTATTTGTGGTGAGGCCGTCGGTTTCATTTTAGCCTCCAGCTTGCGCCAGAAATTGTCGAAGAGTGCTTCCAGTCTTTGCCGGGTCCCATACTGTGGGTCTGTAGGTTCAAGGGGAAGCGTGGCGTCCGCCATGTTGGGTGCAGCGTCTTGTTGCATGCTTCCCCGCGCTTTTCCCCACTGTCCCCGCTCCAGTCTCGTTTTGTCTCTCAGGTGTGGACCGCGATCACCCCCGACAGTCCGGGGGGGGTAACAGGGTTCCTGCTTGCATTGTGCCAGCATTTCGTGGCTACGGACCGGGGGACCGGCCGCCTCTCCCGCTCTACGGTCGCCAGGCCTCATGGCGCAAGTCGGTCTGCCAGCCGGTTTCAGAGTGATCCCAGGCTGCATGGTCGGTTCAGTGCCCTTTAGTGGGTCAGATGAGACCATTTGGGTTTCTCTTTTTTAAAGCTTTTAGGGCTGAAACGTCGTGTTTTGCCCTGTGTTCTGAGGAGCTCTGCAGTGGTACATCTATCTTCCATGCTGGTCAGGCCCCGCCCTCATAATTTGTGTTTTTTAAGTGGTTTTAAACACTGGGGAGTCGCACCTATCTCTTTGACACCACTTTAACACCTTGTGTTACTTTCACTTTGTTGAAGAATCCAGCGTTTACCGTGTGACGAACCGGCACAATGTATTATTTGTTTATCATTGTTTAATAGATAGAAGACATTCAGAATCAAACTTCTCGTGTTTCCTTCTGCATTCTGCTCCCCTCCTGGCCCCTCGGATAAACAGTGTCTGTGCTCTGTGTGTTTTGTTTTTTACCAGTTTGATTGATCTGTTGTATAATTTGCAATTCGCATGTCCGTGTCGCACTGTTTAGTAAGTTAAACCCCTTGGCTTGGAGGGACCCAATCTAAATTCTAAACATTTGGCAACCTCACAATATTAACCCCTGCACTACCAGGCACCGTGTGTTTGAAAACACAACATTTATTTGAAACATTGAAGGCGTAGCTAGCACATAAACATGTAATAAAACAGCAGTTCTGTTTTTTCTGTGGGGCTCCCTTCTTCCCCTTTCAGACATTCAAACCTCAGACTGCAGTATTGGGGTCCCTTTCTCCTCTTTTTCGAGGATGATCCAATCACAGCAGCCCTACAAAAAGCAACAGGGCCAGATTTGCCATAAGGCCATAGAGACCACAACCTTAGGGCAGCATGGCTAGTGGGCAGATCCTTCACTGGCCAGCCAATTCTTTAGTCATTAGGCCAGGCTAGCCGGCAGGACTGGTGCTCAATATTGTATCACAACACTTTGATACAATTACCCATTGCAGGCCGGAAGGAGCTGTCTGAATCCACTGGTGCAAACACTACAGCCGCTGTCTTCCCACTATAGCACCTATTCCTCCATCACGGCACCTGTCCCCCCACCACGTTTATTATTCCTCTACCATGTCCATTATTCACCAGGATCATCCACTATTCTCACACCCCGTCCACTATTCCTCTACAACGTCCAATATTCATCCACCACATCCACTATTACCACACATAGTGAGCGCGGTGTGAGAATAGTGGATGTGGTAAAGGAATAGTGGACATGGTGTGGTAATAGTGGATGTGGTGGATGAATATTGGATGTTGTAGAGGAATAGTGGACGATCCTGGTGAATAATGGACGTTCACTATTCATCCATCTCATCCACTATTCTCACACCGCGTCCACTATTCCTCTATCAGGTTCACTGTTCATCACCTTATCCACTATTCTCACACCACGTCCACTATTCCTCTACCACATCCACTATTCATCCACCTCATCCACTATTCTCACACCCCATCCACTATTCCTCTACCACATCCACTATTCATCAAACATGTCCACTATTCTCACACCACGTCCACTATTCATCTACAACATCCACTATTCATCCACCTCATCCACTATTCTCACACCGCATCCAATATTCCTCTACCACATCCACTATTTATCAACACGTCCACTATTCCCACACAGTATCCACTATTTCTCCAACACTGTCCCTGTCTAACCCACAACGTCTGTCCCTGTCCCCCACTACAGCACCTAGCACTAACATCTTTTTGCCCAACCAAAGCCCCTTATCTCCCTCAACATGCCCACACATATACTACACCGCAAACAACCGACAGTGCTTACCCCAATGCTTCCTCATTGAAGCCTCAGACTACGCCGAAGACAAGGGCACAAGCAGACAGGCACCAACTTCACAATGCTGTGGTGAAGTATTTTAACCTGTTAGGGTAAGAAGGCACCCAATAGTCACTGAATAGTCTAATTTATGTTTAATCAGCAATGATCCTCGGATTTCCATAGCCTTTCAGAAATGTGTGACTCCAAGAAAACAGATGTTTTGTTGTACAGTATCTTTGTTTTTTGTTTTTTTGTTTGTCTGTTTGTTTGGGTTTTTTTAAGACTAAAAAGCGTAAAACAGTTACCGACCAGCAGAGCGAGCTTAGCTACAGACATGTATAGATTTGGTCCTAAATAGTTCAAAATAATAATCTAAAAAACTGTAGGGATCTAACAACTGAACTGCAACCTCCAAAAAAATTTCATTTTCAAAATTGACATCACGTAAAGCAGTATTTTTGAAGTGTTAAGGGAAACACTGCAGGGTAGGTGGAATGGAAGAAAGGATAGGCTTTTGGAGAAAAACGAAACTATTTATTTATTACAAATGCTAAAGAATGCTTATAGGACTCTTAGGCCAGGCACATAATCTGCAGATGAATGGGACCTCTGCGGTCACCCTCAGCCAGTGAGGGACACGTAGAAAGGCAAGGAGTAATACAACTCTGTGGTGCCACATAACAGAGGTGTCCTTGAGGAGCTTTCAGCCCACACCACACAGAGGCCATGAGGAAGAGGCTTTCTCTGGGGTGCATGTAGCCATTAGTTGGATGGCGAGGCAGTGTCCTGGGGTGGCTTCCCTCCAGCCCTGGACTCGTGTTGGGGCCAACACCACTGAGTCACGTACTCGGGGGCTCTTTGAGTCCAGGTCCTTCCCACCACGGGGATTACATGAGGTCTTGATGGTGTGCCGCTGGTTCAGGTCGATGGGCCTCCGCTTTCATGGATGGTGCTTTCGGGGCAAGCCCTTGGTGGCCCTCAGTCCAGTAGGGCATGCTCTGGGAGACTTAGTTGTGGTCACGTTGCTGGTGCCCAGAGGGGGCCTCCCTCGCTTCTCCTCCCTAAACCACCCTGCAGGCTCTGTGTGTGAGTGAACGGGAGCTGCCATGCGTTCCCTCAGCTTGGCCCATAAGTTTGCAAAGATAGCCTCTAGCGAGGTCATAGAGCCGCCAAGGCCGACTAGGTCATTGGTATGTTGCTGCTGCATATCTCAGGGTTCAGGCTTTGGCACGTCTGCCATTTTGGATTTGGCAAGTGTGCTGGACAACCTCCTAGCCTTGACATCTTCTCTGTGGCAGGTCAGCGGGGACCCGGATTACCCCCACTGGTCCAAAAGGGGATGTGGGGTAGGAGCGTGGGTAATTGAAGTCAGCTTGTGGAGCAAGGGGAGCGGCCGTCTCCCCTGAGCTGTTTCTACTAGGCCTCAGCCCGGTGGTGTAGGCTCTCGGTCTCAGAGAAGTCCGAGTGAGGCGTCTTTCGACGCAGCAGGCTATCCTAAGGGCGATAGGTGGCAACCAGGTATGTTTGAGCTGATTGCCCGGGCAGAATCCCCAGTTTGTGGCTGTTAGTGCCGGAGCCCACTTCGCACGCGCCTGGTCGCCTTGGCGGTCAGCCTCCGCCCCTCCCACCTCTGAGTTTTATTAACATCCATTTATTAACATACTGCTCACTGCAGTAGTGAGGCATAAAACTAACATGTTAAGGCAGTCTTTATTTGGAGCACACAAGTAAAGACAACGTTTTGGTTCCTACATGAACCTTTGTTAAATCACTTTGTCAAGAGACTTGACAAACACTTATGTAGGAGCTGAAACATTGTATTCACATCAATTAAAAATAAAGACTATCTGTACCTTTCTATTCCACAATAGGAGCCCTTGAAAGCTCCCTCTACAGGTCACATGTCAAGCCACTAAATGCAATAATACTGGCTTATTTAGGATGATTTTTAATTATTCTGTACACTGTACAATTATTTCCACAATACATGTTTTGCAATTCATTGTCACATATGTTTTCACTTTCATTATCCCTTTACTCTTAATTGTTATTTAGGATGGTATTTATATGGGTATTTACACTACTTTAATTAGACTTGATAAAGACTCAGAGTGGCGCCGAAACGTTGTCTCTACTTTCTTGTTTCAAATAAAAAGACTGCCTTTTAGAAGAAACCTCAGATGTGCCTGGATATTTATTTTCTTCCACTTGATGTCCTTCAATCAAAACCTACCAGCTCCTGGTTCTGTAGACACCATACATGTCAACTTTATAACTTCCAATCAGATTTTAAGTGATTGCCCCTGTAGTGTTAACATGTTTTGGTTCATTGGATAGTACACAAGCCCAGGATGACAACCATGCATGTTCTAGTACAGGAAATACACAGGTAGGCTAAATTCACTATTTATAATATTTATAGTATTCCTTTAACAAAGGTGTTTCTGTGCTTGATTGTATACAAAAGTTTTGAAGAAATTTTGTTAAAATATTGACCAGAAAGGTGGTCATCATCATGATGGAGACAGTGGCATCCTCTTCAGAAACTGCAAGTTTATGGGTTTATTTGGCGCCAAGACTAGCCTGGCCATGGCTCTAATGTTTCCACCCTTGGGGTCGGGTTTCACCTCATACTTCTGCATAATCTGTCAAAGAAAGAAGAATTGTCACACAAACACTCAGATAAGGATTAGCATTGGTTAACAGCAAGGACAACAACCTGGGATTAAAGGGTAATACCGCATTCATTTACAGAAAATAATCCAAAATATGTTAAATGTTTTAAAATAAACACAATTCAATAGAGTTTTAAAATGACTTTTAGATAAATATCTGATGTTCAGTACCATGCTAAAGTGATGTGGTAAGCACAATTCAGAAAAATACAAAAATGGCAAAACCAAACAATTACAGTGATAATACTGTTATATATAAACTCACAATGCATACCCTGTGTCTGTTCTATAGTAAATCATGATTTTTTTTTTATTGTATTCCCTTCTCTTTCCCTTCCCTCACACTTCCCGATCTCTCCCCTCGCAACCTGTACAATTTCCCTTGGTGTGTGTCCCCCCCAACCTCCCCCCACCTCTAGAGGAGAGAAAAAAATAAACACACACACACACATCCCAGTTATCCCGGGGGTCCTCACTTATAATATAAAGTCCAACCTTTCCCTTCACATCCAAAATATGACCGTTCTATCTTACTTATCCCCACACCAATTCCAATGTGCCAGAAACTAAACAGTGCACTCCAACAATCTACTGCAAGAGCACTTCAAATATACACAATGCAAAACTGATGTAGTAGTTCAGAAAAATAATACTATTGTGTATAAACTCACAGTGCATGTTGTATGTGTGTTCCATAGACAATTAATAATTAAAGTGATATTACTATAAAAAACCTCCTCAAATTTATACTTTCCTGTGATGATCTCCTAAAGGGAGGGGGGAGGAGGGTATCATTATTTTCCCTACTTTATTATGTTTCATAGAACGCACCATTTTATCTAAGTTATCAAATCCCATTAAAACCTATATCTATTGATTTAAAAAAAAAAAAAAAAAATACAGACCTGTTCAATCTAGCATTCTAGACCAATGATACTTAAATCCACCTGTTTTATTATATTGACTCTATAAATTCTACTTCTCTGTGCAATATAACCGCCCACAAAACATATATAATATACATTCACTTCCATTACCAATATCCCACTGATACTGTGTCTTTGTAAATTTCTCAGCGGCTCTCCCCCACCTCCATCCACTATGCACTATGCCGGTGGGCCGCGATGGCCATAGGCAGAGTCTGACAGAGGAGATCAAAGGATCTCCCCGACCGGCCCCTTTAGGGCTAGTGCTATCTGACCTCTGGCCCATAGAGGGAGCTCTGTGCGGTGGGGTGATCAAAGATCTTCTTCCACTGGATCACCAGGGAAAATAATTCCTCTCCAGCGTCCTCTCCTGCCAAGGATCAAGGTAAGGAAGAGGGATGGGGGAGTATGCTAGTAAGTTTTATTGCCCCATGTTCCCCTTCCTCATGTCTTCCCCTCTCATCCTGCAGCCCCTGCCCACCCTCTCACCCTGCCGCCCCTGCCCCCCTCTCACATTGCAGCCCCTGTCTCCCTCTCACCCTGCAGCCCCTGCCCCCCTCTCACCCTGCAGCCCTGCCCCTCACCCCTGCAGCCCCTGTGTCTCCCTCTCACCCTGCAGCCCCTGTCCCCCCCTCTCACCCCTGCAGCCCCCTACCCCTCTCCTCTGCAGCCCTCCACTCCCACCGGCCCCTGTTCCCTCTCACCCTGCAGCCCCTACCCTGCAGCCCCTGTCCCCCTCTCACCCTGCAGCCCCTAATCCCCTCTTACCCTGCATTCCCTGTCTCCCCTTCTCATACCCTGCATTCTCTGTTTCCCCTTCTCATCCCCTGCATTCCCTGTCTCCCCTTCTCGTACCCTGCATTCCCTGTCTCCCCCTCTCATACGCTCCATCCTCTATTTCCCCCTCTAACCTAGAAGCTTCTGTCCCTCCACCCAGCACTCCCACTAGGACCCCCCTCCTCACCTCTCACCCAGCAGCCACTGCTCCCCCTCTCACCTTTCAGCCCCATGTCACCTCTTACATCCTGCCCTTCCTCTCACCCTGCAGCCTCTCTCATACCCTGTATCCCCTGTGTCAGGGTTCCATTGATGTCTCTCAGCGGGCAGCAAGTCTCAGCTCAGCACATTGACACGGCATGCATGCATCCCCCCTTAGTGATATCATTAAGTGAAAAAGCAAAGTTGCTGTTATTCTCTGCAGGTTGTAAAAGTTGTGTATTGATATGATTAACTAGACTGATCTCTGACCCAGATACAGGTTTAGCCAGGAACGTTTCAGAGACAATATTTCAACGCAGCAGAGTTACTGTCTGCAATATGTAGCTGCATGGTCATATTTATCAGGCACACTTATTAGGGTTAAAGTGAACTGTTAAAGTGAACACCATGGAATAAAATTTAAAATCACTTACAAAGTCCACTAACCTTATGTCATGTGATGACACACACACACACACAGACAGACTTTAGCAAATTACATCATAATCCAGTTCAGATAAGGCAAAGCCAGGGCACACAATGCAAATGAGGAGCAAAAATAGAAACATTGTATCATTTCTATTTCCTCTTCTTTATATACTTTCTGTATACTCACTACCAGGTAAAAAGATCAACATTGATAACAATGATGGACATTGAGCTAAGATGGAGGAGTCCTGGTACAGGATGAAGAGGTGTGGATTTCTACATTTAATTCTATTTTTTTTCAGACCTCACAAAACACATAAGTGTTGAATATAAGGGATCAGTAAATCTAATAATGATTGTTTAAAGATTCATTAAAACATTTTTGCAGATACAATATTGCATATATTATGTCATTATGTTTCATGAGAGACATAGCGGTTTAGGTCGGTATGACCTCAGCAATAAATATGGTCGTATTGCGCATTTACCCGAGATAACGCCAAGTGCATTTCCAGCTCTGCGATCCGCCGTCCTACACAGGCTCGAACGCCATACCCGAAAGGAATTGAACTGAAAGGGTTATTCTTGACTCGCTCATCCCGAAACCATCGTTGAGGAATGAATTTGTTGGGGTCAGGAAAGTTGCCATCCTCTCGACCTGTAAGATAGTGAGCCAGGGCAAAGAGGGTCTGCAAATAGACAAAAAAACATGTGAACGTGTCTGAAGGGGCAGCATGGCATTGTACATTTGTTAATGCCTTCAATTACAAAGAATATTTCACAGATGGGAAACTCCCTGTGGCATGGACCATAAACTAGATAGGATTAACTGAAATCATAACTATATTACCTGTGAAATGTAATGAACAAAGTACGGGTAATCTGATATGCACCCCATTATCTTGTATTTTATATATATTGTAACAAACCACCTCTTTTATAGGTAGGATTGTCACAGATCTTGCAGTAACTACAGCCTTCTAGGGTATACAAAGTCCAGAACACATTCAGCTCAGTTTTCCTTTTTATTCAGTAAGAAACAGGTGCTTAAATAATAACAAAAACAAACAAAATCCCTTGCTCTTACTTGAGCTCTTACTAGACATGAATTACTATCTGCAATTGGGTGGCTTTCCCACTTACCAATTTTCCAAACAAAAGAAATGGCTTTGCAATAAACAGAATCTCTCCTAGCTGTCTTTTTCTCCCTCACCCTGCAGCAGGCTGATCTCTTCTTTTAAAGGCCTGTCTGCTAATTGACTAGCTACAGGTGAGTGCCAATTAGTAAACCCTTAAGTCAGATACAAATTGTGGTCTGTTACACAGCAACTAGTGCTGTTGGAGCATTGGCCCACCCTGCTCTCCAAATACTCCGCCCCAGGGACCCATACCATGTTTTGCAGAGCATCAGCTATGCATATTGCAAACTTTAACCTCTCTCCCTGGGGCATTTAACCGAAAATCCTCTGGTTGCTGTTTAGCAAATCAGGTCTGATGTATCTCCCATCAACCACTATTCCACCTTTACGCTCACATATCCTCCCCCCCAGCTCATACCCATGGGTTTGAGCGACCATGGAAATCAGGGAGTGTACCCTCGAAAACCCATCAGCATTACCTTGTTGCAGACCAGCCCTGTGTTCCACAGTGAAATTAAAAGATTGTAAACTCAAAAACCATCTGGTTACTCTGGAGTTATTTTCCTTGTTCTGATACATCCATGTCAGAGGTGCATGGTCAGTTATCAATCGGAACTTTCTGCCTAGCAGGTAGTATTTAAGAGAGTCTAATGCCCACTTAATAGCAAGACACTCTTTTTCAACAATAGAGTAGTTCTTCTCATGTGGGTTTAACTTCCTGCTCAAAAAGAAAACCGGGTGTTCTTCACCCTGGTATTCCTGTGAAAGAACAGCCCCCAAGCCAACATCAGAAGCATCTGTCTGAACTATAAAGTTCCTGGAAAAATCTGGGGTCACCAAGACAGGATGGCTACAGATAGCTTCCTTCAGACTCTTAAAAGCCTTTTCTGCCTCAGGGCACCATTTAACTATGACTGGGGATTTTGCTTTAATAAGGTCTGTTAGGGGTGCAGCAATGGTAGCAAAATCTGGAATGAACCGCCTAAAATATCCAATTAAACCCAGAAATGCCTTTACTTGTTTCTTTGTAAGGGGATGTGGCCATTTTTGTATGGCTTCTACTTTGGCTTCCTGTGGTTTAACCAAACCCCTCCCAATAGAATAACCTAAGTACTTAGCTTCCTCTAAACCAATCGTACACTTGGAAGGATTGGCAGTTAAGCCCGCTGAGCGGATAGCATCAAGCACCGCTTGAACTTTGGGGAGGTGGGATTCCCAGTCTGCACCGTGGATGACGACATCATCAAAGTATGCTGCAGCATAACGAACATGAGGTTTAAGAATTCTGTCCATCATTCGTTGGAATGTGGCAGGTGCCCCATGTAACCCAAATGGCAATACAGTGTACTGAAACAGGCCACTGGGTGTTGAAAAGGCTGTCTTTTCTTTGGCTCTTTCAGTGAGAGGGACCTGCCAGTAACCCTTTGTTAAATCCAAGGTTGTTAGATAACTAGCTTTACCCAGCCTTTCTATTAACTCATCATCAACTCTGGGCATTGGGTAAGCATCAAATTTTGAGATGGCATTTAACTTGCGGTAGTCGTTAGAGAACCTCCATGTGCCATCAGGTTTTGGCACCAATACAATAGGACTACTCCAGTTACTCTGGGATTCTTCAATGACTCCAAGTTTTAACATGCTCTCAACCTCTAAGCTTATAACCTCCCTCCGGGCCTCAGGAATTCTATAGGGTTTGAGATTAACTCTTTTCCCTGGTTCGGTTATTATGTCATGTTTAATCACCTTAGTCTTTCCTGGAACTACCGAGAAAACATCCCTATTTCTTCTGATGAAGTCTCTGACCTCTTGCTTTTGATGTACAGACAGAGTCTCAGATACGTTCACCTCTGGCTCTACTATAGGAGGTACTGAAGTTTTTAAAGCAACCAGGACCTCCCTGTCCTTCCATGGCTTTAACAGATTTATATGATACAACTGTTCAGGCTTTCTTCTTCCTGGTTGTCTGACTTTATATTGTTCCAACGTTTCTTTTTGGCAATCCTCAGTGCGCTGGGGATATCATCTCCAAAATTTAGCCGTTGCTCTTTGGCCAAGTTATATGCTCTCTGCAGATTGCCGATGGCCTCGTCGTAATTATCCAGTTCCATCTGGCACTGCCCCAAGAAGAAGTGAGCCTTCACAGACTGGCAATCCAACTCCAGGGCATGTTTGCAGTCTGCCAGGGCCTTATCCAGCTGCTGCATTTTCAGGTAGCATAGAGCTCTGTTTGTATAGTAGACAGCAATGGAGGGGTTCCGGGTTATTGCTTTGCTATAACAGGACACCGCCTCCTGATATTTGCGAGCCACAAACAGACGATTGCCTTGCTCCTTAAGCTCCTGGGCACTAACACTTTTCTCTGGGCTTCCCCCAATCCCTCCTGTACTCCCACTCACCCCCGAGGGGCGTCCCCCACTACCACCCTCCTCCTTCCCTTTCATACCGGGGCCTCCAGGAGTAACCCCTCCAAACCTCGGGATGCTCGGTGTCACCCCCAATTTCACAGTTGTTATGGGACCCCTAGAGGGGGCCCTTATTTTATATCACAGGGTTATTTCCCACCTTAGGTATCTAGATATGAAAGCACTTTCTATGCTATTTGCACATTACATCTAACATCCAATCACCCCACCATCAAAAGGTTAAATAATACTGGAATACAAATATGCTCAGGTATTTGCCGAAATCCAAAATGTGCACTCCACAAATCCAATAAACCTCAGATAATCCTTCAAACCAGGCTACCAATATTTAGTAATATTATTATCACTAAATGCTTATTGATATCAACTGCCACAATTCAACTCCAAAACATTTAGAATAATTGCATACTCATAACACTTAAAATGTTCTCCTACACATTTATAACACAATTCTAATGCCAATTCTAATGCCATCAAAAGCTGAAACCTCCCGTGTTCAGCAGTACGAAAGATCAGTTTAAAAATTAGAACATGTAGTAAATTCCAGACTTTCCACAAACCAATCTGGAGACACAGATCTAATCCGGCTGCAGCCTTCTCGCAGTCATCGATGATACAACCCTAAAATCGGTTCCTTAACGGACCTTCAGCACCCCAAAAATAAGGTCATTTTGTTGAGCTAATCAGCCACAGGTTCACCAAGACAATCAGTTGGTCAGCTGTATGGGGGTCACTTTGGCTGACCCAGCGACGCAAGGAAGCTGGTAAACCACGCAAAAACCGGTCCATAACTAAGGTTTCCACAATGTGGCTAGCTGAATGGATTTCAGGTTGTAACCATTTCCGTGCAAGGTGTATGAGGTCAAACATTTGGGAACGTGTGGCTTTGTCTGAAGAATATGACCATGAGTAGAACCTTTGGGCACGTACTGCAGAGGTTACACCCAGTCGTGCCAAGATTTCAGCTTTCAATTTGCTGTAGATACTTGCATCGGCTGGTTCTAGGTCATAATATGCCTTCTGCGGCTCTCCACTTAGGAACGGTGCCAGTATGCTTGCCCATTCACCAGCCGGCCATCCCTCCCTCTCAGCAGTGCGCTCAAATGCCAGAAGGTACGCCTCAACATCATCTGATGCGGTCATTTTCTGAAGATAGTGGCTCGCCCGAATCACCTTTGGCCCCTGGTATCTTCCATCAGGGTCTCCATTCAGTTTTTCAGAGATAGCTTGGATTTCCTGTTGTAGTCCCTGGGTGACTTTTTGCTGCTCCTCACGGGCTACTTTAAACATCTCCGCTTGTGTCACAACAAGCTGTTTCACCAAGGACTCAGTGCACTCCATTTGTGTTTTGGCCAGGACTTTAGCACACTCTGCCTGGGCCAGCACCAGTTGCTGCAGGGCTGCACTGTTTTCTGCAGCTCTCCTGTTAGCCTCCTGTTGCACAGAGGTGGATTGGATCAGAGCCTTGATAACATCCTCCATGTTGAGCTTTAAATGACTTCTACCCTCAGGCTTACGTGGCTGCCCGCATTCTCCACCATATGTAACAAACCACCTCTTTTATAGGTAGGATTGTCACAGATCTTGCAGTAACTACAGCCTTCTAGGGTATACAAAGTCCAGGACACATTCAGCTCAGTTTTCCTTTTTATTCAGTAAGAAACAGGTGCTTAAATAATAACAAAAACAAACAAAATCCCTTGCTCTTACTTGAGCTCTTACTAGACATGAATTACTATCTGCAATTGGGTGGCTTTCCCACTTACCAATTTTCCAAACAAAAGAAATGGCTTTGCAATAAACAGAATCTCTCCTAGCTGTCTTTTTCTCCCTCACTCTGCAGCAGGCTGCCCTCTTCTTTTTAAGGCCTGTCTACTAATTGACTGGCTACAGGTGAGTGCCAATTAACTAACTCGTAAGTCAGATCCAAATAGTGGTCTGTTACACAGCAACTAATGCTGTTGGAGCATTGGCCCACCCTGCTCTCCAAATACTCCACCCCAGGGACCCATACCAGGTTTTGCAGAGCATCAGCTATGCATATTGCAAACTTTAACCTCTCTCCCTGGGGCATTTAACTGAAAATCCTCTGGTTGCTGTTTAGCAAATCAGGTCTGATGTATCTCCCATCAACCACTATTCCACCTTTACGCTCACAATATTTTACTGACAAATTTATAGAATTCAAGAACTGGGTGGCTTATAACCTGTACTAAGGGGTTAATTTTCCCCCACTGTAGTAATGTTACTGTTTGCCTCATTGGTGACTGAGATTGATGTTATTGTAGCCAAGGTCTCACTGGCCTGTACTCCATAATGGATGAATAGCTGATTCAATAACAGTATAGATTATCATCAGAATAGTTTCACCCACTCCGTGTCTCTATTCCCAAGACGGGGAAATACCTCAGAACTAATCTCATATGTTAATCATGAATTAAACTACTTTCATATGGTATTTCCACGCTGCATGTCTCTGTGGCAGTACAGTCCTCCTATAATATGCTCTGAAATAGTTGTACAGCGGAAGCAGCTGCCGCACTACAAGTAATGTGCTTGGGGAACTAAGAAAGGTTATCCTGTTAATACAAGGTATACGATGGTAACAATAACTACTGGCATTTAATGTGATTCTAAGTGGGAGATGCCTTCAGTGTTGTGGGTGTGCCACTCACTGCACATTGATACATTTCACTTACTCCTTTTGGGAAGCAAAAATCCCCCAGGATTATATCGTTCTCAACAGCAACTCTGGCATTGATTGGCACAACGGGGAACATCCTAAAAACAGACAGCACAATAAATGAATCCATTCTCTTGTAAATGTTACCTTTAATCATTCTTTGGATCTGTATCATCATAACTAAACATTGGACAGATTTCTAAAAATGTGTTTTAAAAAACAAATACATTTTTCTATTTTGTTTTCTTCTAAACATCTAATTCTAGCTCACAGATTGACTGAGAATGCTGTGAGTGTATTCTCTGAAATCTAACTGTAGTGAATTCAGATTCGAATGGCAAATTTCAAGTAAGGAAATATCCGATTCCGCACAATTCTCCTACTTTCACTGTTATAGCTTGAATTTTCCCATTCAGACGTTCAGTTCACAAGGCACTCACAGGAAGCGGCTGTGGGAGGTGAATGACGTTCAGGAGTTTCATAATGACAACAGAAAGATTTTTAACTTCAAGTTCACTTTTTTTTTTTTTTGCAACAGTAGTTATGTGACTTTTTCATTTATGTTTTTTTTTTCATATATGTACTTGATCTTACAGAAACTACATTACCCCAGTGTTCCTATAAATGTGATGGGCATTGTGACTAAATTCAAAGAGAACCTACCTCAGTGTTTCTTTAATGACAGCCTTCAGCAGTGGCATCTTCGCGATGTCCTCCGCAGTGGGTATAGTTTCTCCTGGAACAATCCCTGTCACCTCTTTATAAAGCTGGTCCTGTATCTCCGTGTTTTGTGCCAGATTATACAGAGCCCAGGACATTGTGTTGGAAGTCTGGGGAGAGAAAGAAGAATGTTATCACAGCGCCACCACATGGTGAGGGCAATACAATGCCACATCTTCTTCCTTAGACAAGCAGATCAAAGTACTTGATACACATACATAAGGAAGCTTTAACTCAAACATATATACAGTATCTCACAAAAGTGAGTACACCTCTCACATTTTTGTATATATTTTATGATATCTTTTCATGTGACCACCCTGAAGAAATGACACTCTGCTACAAGTAGTAAGTGTACAGCCTGTATAAATGTAAATTTGCTGTCCTTTCCAAATTGGGCCCATTTAGCCAAACTTCCCTCCCCGGTGTCATGTGACTCGTTAGTGTTACAAGGTCTCAGGTGTGAATGGGGAGCAGGTGTGTTAAATTTGGTGTTATCGCTCTCACACTTTCTCATACTGTTCACTGGAAGTTCAACATGGCACCTCATGGCAAAGAACTCTGAGGATCTGAAAAAAAGAATTGTTGCTCTACATAAAGATTGCCTAAGCTATAAGAAGATTGCCAAGACCCTGAAACTGAGCTACAGCACGGTGGGCAAGATCACACAGCAATTTCACAGGTTCCACTCAGAACAGGCATCACCATGGTTGACCAAAGAAGTTGAGTGCACATACTCAGCGTCATATCCAGAGGTTGTCTTTCTGAAAAAGACGTATGAGTGCTGCCAGCATTGCTGCAGAGATTGAAGGGGTGGGGGGTCAGCCTGTCAGTGCTCAGACCATATGCCGCACACTGCATCAAATTGGTCTGCATGGCTGTTGTCCCAGAAGGAAGCCTCTTCTAAAGATGCTGCACAAGAAAGCCCGCAAACAGTGTGCTGAAGCCAAGTAGACTAAGCACATGGATTACTGGAACCATGTCCTGTGGTCCGATGTTACCAAGATAAACTTATTTGTTTCAGATGATGTCAAGCATGTGTGGTGGCAACCAGGAGAGGAGTACAAAGACAAGTGTGTAATCTTGCCTACAGTCAAGCATGGTGGTGGGAGTGTCATGGTCTGGGCCTGCATGAGTGCTGTCGGCACTGGGGAGCTACAGTTCATTATATATGTACTGTGACATACTGAAGCAGAGCATGATACCCTCCCTTCGGAGACTGGGCTGAAGACAACCCTCCAAGACGACCACTGCCTTGATAAAGAAGTTGAAGGTAAAGGTGATGGACTGGACAAGCATGTCTCCAGTCCTAAACCCTATTGAACACCTGTGGGGCATGCTCAAACGGAAGATGGGGGAGCACAAGGTTTCTAGCATTCACCAGATCAGTCTGCTGCATTTATATATGCAGCAGAGGCGGCCTGGCCCCTAACGGCCGGGGCGGCAAAATGGACTGGACGGCCCCGGATAGTATGGATGTTATCATAGCATGCATTATAGACTTGTCTCCTTCCCTGGTTGGGGAGTGTCTGGGTTAGCCATAACAAGTCTGTATAGTTCAGCTTTCCTAGCTATAGCTAGTAATGGTATGTCTCTATGCCTTAGCTTGGCTGCAATCTTTGGAATGGTCCAGAATCGCAGAGAACTGGGATGGGGGGTTCCTGGCTCTCCACCGGTGTGCTTGGCCTGGCAGGTGTGAAGGGTCTAGCTGGTGTCCTGGGGAGGGAGAAATCCTCACCTTGTTCTGAGGTGTGAGACATACTATGACAAATGAGATCATGTAAATATTGTAAGAGAAGTTGTTGAGCGTGCAACTCTAATTCAACTGGCAACTTACTAAGTGCCGAGTGGCAAAGAAATTAACTAAACAATGGAAATATGAGGCCCTGCTAATTGATAAACGGGTGTGAGAGGCACTAACTATCATTTGGCCATGGGGCCGACCAACCAAAACAATGTGGTGGGAACGTTGGCCTCTCGGTGACTTGTAACAAACTCTATATGATTGTCCATGACTGGTGAGGGCCTGACTATAAACCCAGACCGGGTATTGCAAGGCTCTAACTATGAGTTAGGCCGATGGGCAAATACCTCTGCGTGAGGATGAGTGTTGGCCTTGCAGGACCATGTAATGTATAGGTTGTATATTGGAGAATCTACGTATCTTGCACTATTAGTAGTATGTCTCAAGATTGTCTCGGTATTTGTAAGTGTGACGTTAGGTTGTGATCATATGGTAGTGATCGTAATGTATGGTATATTGAAGTAGCAAGGCCAAATGAGCGCCAGATGTATGTATGCCCAGTAAGCGCATTGTAATCTGTTATGATATAGCCATATGAAATGCTGAATGTGTTTGTAAAGTTAATGAATAGGTACCGTTTTAGTGAGATGGAAGGATTGCCCAGTGAGGGTCCGATGTTTGTAGCGGATGTGAGGCTGCAATGAGGGCCAATTACTTAAAAAAAAAAAAAAAAAGAAGAATATAATACTTTTAAGAATGATTCTAATTTAATAAAACAGTAACGTAACCGGGTGGTCTATATATTTATAGATTGTAAAAGTGGATGTAACTATCCCTCCTATGCTAGTTTAGTGACGGCTAGTCAAATGTGATCATGCAAATAAAACGCATATTGCCTGGAAAGGCCAAGGCAACTTATTATTACAGAACCTATCATATATATTAGAACATACCATAAACAGATTTATTTTTATTAGAGAACCATATAGGATTGACAACTTGTTCATACAGTTATAAATTGTTATATGCTGTAGGCTGAATGAGGCATGAAAGTACATAGAAATAATAATGTCAACTGTGTAATTGATTACTGTGACAGAACCATCTGTATAGACTAAGATTGCTGGTTCGTCTGTTTTGCCTCTTTTCGTGAAATTACCTGTCCGTATGCCCCTGTTCGTTTATTTGACGTTTTTACCAAATGAACTTACCGAACGGACGGCCACCCAGAAGAGAAGTGTGCTGCTGGTTAACCTCTTGATCCCAATTAGAACTTTGTGGTTAACCGCAGACACCTCTCAATTATAACCAAATACAGGGTGGTCGTCGTTTGTATTTCGACCACGAGACGGCGGCCATTTTAAACCGTTCGAAGGACCAGCGGTGTTCGGCACAGATTCCATGGAACTAAAAACGGACACTTTTTCTGCCGAACACCACTAAAATCACAGATCGCCCTTCTCAGTCGACAAAAGCATGCGAACACCGGCCGTTCGGGAGTTTGGACTACACGAATGGACTTAACCCAGATAGCCTTCCCATGGAGTCAATCGCATACCGAAAGACTGTAAAAGACTTTGACTCCATGGCGATTGAACTATGCGTATGGGATCTGAGCGCTATTCGCTAAGAATATGCACTCAGATCCAGGCTATCTGGGGATACGTTGCACGAATGGAGTATATTCGGTAGTTGTATAATTATGTATTTTTATGTGGTTTTTATGTTTCATCTAAAATGGCGATTTGCCTCTGTCCTGGGAGATAATTGAATTACTTCTCAATTATCTCCAGGGCAGAGAGGATGAAACCATGATGCATGCTGGGAATCTTATGTGCCTGTATGTCCTGAAATGCTGTATGTCCATCTGCCATTACAGTCTCCCATTTGGTGTGTCCAAGTGGGAGACCTGCATAAATACGGGCGGGTAGCCCACAGTAAGCCCAGTTCTTGTTTTACCCTCAATGCGGAGCTTGGTCTCGTTAGTGGGGGGATTTACTACACACGAATAGCGACTGATTGCTGGAACCGTAAGCCGCTTGGGAGATATATTGATTCGGCTGTTAGCAGCGATTCGTGGGTTTACCGCTCGAGAGCTGGAGTATCCATACAGGTCCCGTTCGTGAGGTTAGCGCCTTCCCCTACTTGCAGTTCGTACGAGGGGAGTCTATACGAATGGTGTTTACAGCAGTGCGAGCGGGGAGGATTAACTAAACGGCGGTTTGACTATTTGATGTTGAGGGTGCCGTTACAATTACCAGATGAAAATGCTTAGCCATATAGTACCTTGTAACTTTAATAAATGATATGTAACCTGACATTACGCATATATAGGGATATCAGATAGTATAAACCAAAGCAGGCCAAACCATAATCTGGTCAAATAGGGCAGAACGGCAGGGCCCCAGCAAAGTTGGGAATGACTGTCAAATTATGATTTGTAGGTATGTGGCTGGCGAACGATTGATATATGCATAATGCATGTATATATGTTTAGGCCAAATTATCTGATGGGGCCGCACCGATAATGTGGAGAATTTATTACTGTGGCTGATGATGGGCTGGATGCCATAAATTCACATAAAAGCATACATTGCATAATTAAATACCTTAAAAAAAAATACAAAAGCCCATCAGGTTCAATATTATATTCAAATTAATTTAGCAAACAGAGCATTTTGCAGTGAGCATGCATTTTATTATTCTTAGTGTTATTATTTTTTGGCGTTTATATGGCGCCAACCTATTGCGCAACACTTTAATTTGTAAAGCTATCCATCCACATCAATTTATTTTCTTTCATCTCATTAATGAGAGATGAGGCAGATACAAAAAATGAACCAGTAACAACAGGAGAGTTAGAACTGAGCGGGAGATTGAAAATGATAGAGTGATGTATCCGAGCTGAAAAACATTTCAGATTTTCAGAATTTTTCCAGTTTGATTCATTTGGCTGAGAATATTCTATTCTGTTGTCATTTTACCACAATTTGTGGATTAGTGAATAAATCCCTTATATTCTAATTGTATTTACGCAATACGCTACGGTTGAACTTTGTTCCTGAGCTGACCTCACACCTTTTACTCTATAAAAAGAATGCAGTAAGACTAGGTTACACTCTCCAAGCACTATAACAACTACAGCTGAATGCAACATTTAATGGGCTATGAAATTGTCTACCCAATTTCTTGGATTTTTTAATCTATATTAGCAGTTCCCAAACATAGCAATGGGGAATCAATGTGTTCCTTAATGTTGTCTTTGGGATGGAAGGATGGAGCCTGGGCCCTAAAGAATTATTAATTAATTAATTTTAAAAAACAACACTCTGAAAGAGTTACACTTTCATGCTAACTATTTTTTTTAAATATGTTTTTAAAATAAGTAACTAATATTTACTTACAGTGTCCACTCCAGCCAATAGCAGTTCAGCCACACTGCCGTACACTTCCTTAGGTGTTAACTCTCCACTGGATAGTAAATATGTCAAGTATTCACCCTTTACTTCTTCACCACATTCCAAACGATCCTGTATGGTCTGTATCTTCTGGTCAATCAACTTTTTTCCTAAATTGGAAAATCAAGATTATGAATGTTCCAGTACAAGACTAACGAGGAGAGAATTATTTTAATAAAACTACTCACCAAAGTTAAAGATATTGTCCCAGCTTTCTATGTAGTATTTAAAGAATGGCAGGATGTCATTGGTCCACTGTGGAAGGAGAACTATAATTATATTGTACTTCATCATGTCAGCGATAGATTTTATGAAGTTCTGAGTCTCTGCAGGTATCTGATTCTTCAAGCAACCGATCCGAGTCTCAAACAGAATGTAAGAAATACCTAAAATAAGTGAACAAGAAGTTGTATGACTTCTGTAAAATAAATAGCTACTCTAAAGATAAAGTTCTCGTAAGGACTAAAGAGAAGTAACATAGAAACATAGAAACATAGAATGTGACGGCAGATAAGAACCATTCGGCCCATCTAGTCTGCCCAATTTTCTAAATATTTTCATTAGTCCCTAGTCTTATCTTATAGTTAGGATAGCCTTATGCCTATCCCACGCATGCTTAAACTCCTTTACTGTGTTAACCTCTACCACTTAGGCTGGAAGGCTATTCCATGCATCCACTACCCTCTCAGTAAAGTAATACTTCCTGATATTATTTTTAAACCTTTGTCCCTCTAATTTAAGACTATGTCCTCTTGTTGTGGTAGTTTTTCTTCTTTTAAATATAGTCTCCTCCTTTACTGTGTTGATTCCCTTTATATATTTAAATGTTTCTATCATATCCCCCCTGTCTCGTCTTTCCTCCAAGCTATAGATGTCAAGATCCTTTAACCTTTCCTGGTAAGTTTTATAAGTAAGGAAAGGTTCAGTTCTCATTGAATGACTGACCCATGGATGGCTGTTGGTTCAACCTTAATGAAGCAGTCCAATCAGTCAGATGTTTTCCTTCACTGGGTCAGGTGAGTACATCTCAAACTTATCCATGAGAGTCAATAACAGGCCAACATTTTATGATATCTCCAACATCTCTGATATCCTGGGTTAACACTTTAACACAAGGGACTTTATCAGTGTCTCAGACAGTTCCACTGACGTACGGTGAATCATAGCTATAATGTTCTCAAATCATGTCCTCTTGGAGGATCCTGTGAACAGGATTGACGGACACTATTAATGAATAAAGACAAGTCTACTTGTCCAAAATCCATGAACCAGCAGTCATATAAAAAAAGATAATTGTAATAATAATGTAAACATCAATAGTTTTCCAAAATCTTACTGAACGCATTTTACATCTTGTTTGATCAATGTAAACACATACAATGCAATGGTGAAAGATTAGGTCTCATTGATTATACTAATTATGTATTTATAAATATTTATCTTGGAGAATAAATATTACAATAAGTCATATGTGCTAATCGTTCAACAATTCCACAAAATTAATCACGATAATTCACTAGTGGAGAATAGTAATGTCCCGAACGGTTCGCCGAACGGTTCGCCACGAACGGTTCGCCACGGACTCATCGTTGAGTAAACTTTGACCCTGTACCTCACAGTCAGCAGACACATTCCAGCCAATCAGCAGCAGACCCTCCCTCCCAGACCCTCCCACCTCCTGGACAGCATCCATTTTGAAGCTGCATTCTTAGTGAGTTGTCCAGGAGATGGGAGGATCTGGGAGGGAGGGTCTGTTGCTGATTGGCTGGAATGTGTCTACTGACTGTGAGGTACAGGGTCAAAGTTTACTCAATGATGAGTCCGTGGTGAACCGTTCGTGGCGAACCATTCGCGAACCGTTCGGGACATCACTAGTGGAGAATTAAGAAGATAATTCAACATTTAAAGCCAAAATAGCCAAACTGTTAAAGTTCTTCAATTTAGTTATGTTTCCAGTTTAGCGACTAATATGTGTAATTCTCTTGTCAATTCTCCACGATATCCATTTTAGTGAATATACCCCAATGTATTTACAATTTATTGTATACTGAATTACGGGAGTCAAACTATCTGAATGTGAGTGTGTGATTTTATCCATCCATTGGCTAGCCCTCATTTCATCCAATGTCTTGCATTAAGGCAGCATGGCTGTATACAAACAGGTTAGTTTCACAAAGTATTTTAAAAACTACAACCTTCAAAGGCGAATCTGTAGAGGGCGTTTGGTAGGTCATTGACCATAACTCCTGAAGGAGATTCCTTTCTCATCTCATCCAGTCTGAGCAGAAAGTCTGTAACCACTTCATTAACTGATCCCGTGTACAACACCGCTTCCTGGGGCAGCAGCATTCTCTTATTCAGTACTTTTCGTAGTGTGTGCCAACGGTGACCTTCCCTGAAAGCACGGAACATGGGGTTCATCTTATATAAACGTATACAATCAAGCGGTAAAACAGAAGCAACAAAAAGAATGGAAACTACCTAAATTATTAAATTATTTTATAATAATGCATAAAGTATTAAGGATATTAAAAAGGACACTATAGTCACCCAGACCACTTTATCTCATTGTAGTGGTCTGGGTGCTCTGTCCCAGTGACCTTAACCCTGCAATGTAAATCCTTACTTTTTTTGAGAAACACAATAAGTGCATTGCAGGGTTTACACCACCTCTATTGGCTTTCTTCTAGACAGCCACTAGAAGCGCTACCGGGTCCCTAACAGAGTTTTACGCTGTGAAAGGACATTAGAAATCCTCACACTTTGCATCAGTTTCAAATGACCCCATAGAAAAGTATTGATTTCGTGCTTTCCTATGAGGATTCTTTAAAGGGACACTGCAGACCCCAAAATCACTTTAACTTGCCAAATAGCTTTATGTGTGAAGGGTGTGTTTTCTTTTTTTTCATTTTAGAAAAAGAGCAGATTTCAATAAAAAATATAAATTGTACTGTTTACATCTCCCTGGCTTTTCAAGCAGATGACAGGTCCTGTTACTTCTTGGTTTGGTTGTATTAGTTGCACTAAATGCAAGAGGCAGCATTTGCCCAGAGCACCGGCCTTGCAAAGACTTCTCATTGAGCTGCATTGGATAAGCTGCATCTTGGATGTAAAAACCCAGGAGCAGAGAACAGAATGTCTGATACAACATCTGAGGAAAGGGATTTAGGGGTAATTATTTCAGCAGCAGGAAATGCTAGCAGAATGCTTGGTTGTATAGGGAGAGGTATTAGCAGTAGAAAGAGGGAAGTGCTCATGCCATTGTACAGAACACTGGTGAGACCTCACTTGGAGTATTGTACACAGTACTGGAGACCGTATCTTCAGAAGGATATTGATACTTTAGAGAGGGTTCAGAGAAGGGCTACTAAACTGGTTCATGGATTGCAGAATAAAACTTACCAGAAAAGGTTAAAGGAACTTAACATGTATAGCTTGGAGGAAAGACAAGACGGGGGGATATGATAGAAACTTTTAACCACTTAGTGACAGACGTATTTAAATTTTTTTTCCATTAAGGACCAGGTCTGTTTAGCTGTAATTTTCTTTTAACTCATTTACTGTACCCACACATATTATATACTGTTTTTTTCCATTTAATGGTCTTTCTAAAGATACCATTATTTTCATCATATCATTTACTAAAAAACAAATTATAAAATATAATGACATTTAAAAAAAACAAAAAAACACTTTTTCTAACTTTGACCCCCAAAATCTGTTATGCATCTACAACAGCCAAAAAACACCTGTGCTAAACAGTTTCTCAATTTTGTCCTGAGTTTAGAAATGTTACCCAATGTTAACATGTTCTCAGCTTTGTTTTGCAAGTTATAGGGCTATAAGTACAAGTAGGACATTGCTGTTTCAAAATATATATTTTTAAAATGTATAAATTGTGACATTGTAACATCTTTAATAAATCTCTAAATCACACCTCACATGTACATATTTTTTTAAAGTAGACAACTCAGGGTTTTCAATATAGGGTATGTCCAGTCTTTTTAGTAGCCACTGGCCAAAATTAGCATTTATATTTCTTTGTGTGATAAAATGCAAAAAACAATTATGAATGCTAACTTTGGCCAGTGTTTGTGACTAAGTGGCTACTAAAAAAGACTGAACATACCCCATTTGCAATACCTTGGGTTGTCTTCTTTTGCAAATGGTATGCCGTCATGGAGGTAATTCTCATTCCTGGGCTTCCATAGGCTCTCAAAGGCAACATAACCAATCTGTCAAATTTCAATGTGAAAAAAACTGAAAATCAAGCCTTATATTTGAACCTGTAACTTTCAAAAACACTATAAAACCTGTACGTGAGGAGTACTGTTATACTCAGGAGGCCAGTGAGGACTACTCTAAAGAATACTAGGTGGGGATTATACCACTTAAGCGCTATTCATTGAGCAGCTTGCGTTCTCAATCAAATGCGAGTACTAATTTATAAATTTCTACACTCCTTGAGTTTTTAAAACAGTGAGCACTATTATTGTTCCTTTTATCATATTATGGTCTTCACAACATTGAAAAAACTATCAACGTCTCACGTATCCTATAAGTGGGGATTGTACCACTGTACGCTATCCATGCTAGAGCTGGTCATAGCTCTAAAAGATGTGAGTAGAACCATATAGACCTTTTAATATATGCAAACATTTTGGGATATATTACACTATTATTCTCTCTCTGTTTTTTATATATACGAATTGCAAGACTTCTTCTAACTCTGATCCCCTGGCGAAAGAATATTCTCTAAAGAATTCCCAAGTCATCTCTTCTGGCAAGTCTATGCTCCTATTCTGGACTTTTTTCTACAATATCTATCATTTTTTGTAATAGTTACCATTTTACTCATATATTTTATTCTATTATAATAGCTTTTTGTGTTGCTTATAAATAGTGGACGACTATTGTTTTGGTGCAACCTTTCCCCCTATCCTTCTTTTACCATTGTATCTGTACGTAGGGCTAAGAGGGAGCCCTAAACTTTAAGGTGTGCTGCCTACCTGTTCAATATCTCTAAATTGTATGGGGTCTGGTTAAATAGCGCTTATCTTTGTCTGCATTTTCTACCTTGTATTACTTAGTGCTCCTTTTAAGTGCAGTTGACACTTGTTTAACATGGTAACAATTATTAAAAAGAACCACTTCTAGCTTACTATGATTCTCATTTGATACCAAATAGACAAATAAACTCTTTGTAGAAAGAACTAAAAGCAGGGCAGCTCCTCTTTAATTCACAGGTCCACAATCATGTCCTTTTGTGCATATATCCAAACAATACAAATGTATTCTCTGTTGTATACCATTTATCAAGTCATAAAAAAATAAAAACAGGGACTTCTCAAATTTGTTGAATCCCCCCAATCCATTAATTAACTCACATCTCCCCACTTTTGACCACACACCTCAATATTTACAATTGTTGTTAAAGTGCCTAAATGTGTATCCGAAGATGCTCTATTAACATGGGCACGCTAGTCCTGACAACGGCCCTTTACATCTCTGCGCTACTGCCGGTGAGAGTGTTCCAAGTATAGACTGGGACACTCTTTGTACTTTTGGCTCACTAAGTAATGTGTGTTTAAACCTTTTACTGTTTGATATAATGCTGGCTTGTGTGAAAATCTTTCTGTACTAATTGGTGCCTCTGCCAATCTGCAGCTTCTTCTTTTCACAGCACCATTTATGTATTCTGCTGCCTTGCAACACAGTGATACTGGCATATTTTAGAACCTTTTAAAAGTTATTTATCTCCCTCCCTTTCTCTGGGATGAAGTGAGTTAATATTGAGAAAATGTAGCACAACTAGAAGAATGTAGTTTAATGGAGTTATCTTTTGAATTGGTTACAAATGACAAGACTGATACAGAACTTGGTAATTTGGGAAGTGGTAGAAATGAACAGACCTCTCTCTGTTCCCAGATCTACATGCTTTGCATAGACAATACATTCCATGAATGATGGGTTGGTGAAAGGAATTCTTTAAACTCACTCTGTAAATGGACCATAGGCCAGATCCCTCATATTACGATGGACTTTCCAAAGATCCATGTCGGTTCTCATTGGATATTTTCCCTCCTGTCTAAGGATGGCTTCTATTAAATCCACATCAGCAACATTCACTGTTTTTTGAAGTCCCATAGACGTTTTCCACATAGGGCCATATTTCTTCTTGAAAATGATCTGATATGTTACAAAATGAAGGATAAGATCACAATATGAATTCATCAGTAACTGTTTTTCAGCAGAGTTTACATGTTAACCAGCCCTTTCTCAGCATATTAAAGGGACACTATAGTCACCTGAACAACTTTAGCTTAATGAAGCAGTTTTGGTGTATATAACATGCCCCTGCAGCCTCACTGCTCAATCCTATGCCATTTAGGAGTTAAATCCCTTTGTTTATGAACCCTAGTAACACCTCCCTGCATGTGACTTGCACAGCCTTCCATAAACACTTCCTGTAAAGAGAGCCCTATTTAGGCTTTCTTTATTGAAAGTTCTGTTTAATTAAGATTTTCTTATCCCCTGCTATGTTAATAGCTTGCTAGACCCTGCAAGAGCCTCCTGTATGTGATTAAAGTTCAATTTAGAGATTGAGATACAATTATTTAAGGTAAATTACATCTGTTTGAAAGTGAAACCAGTTTTTTTTTCATGCAGGCTCTGTCAATCATAGCCAGGGGAGGTGTGGCTAGGGCTGCATAAACAGAAACAAAGTGATTTAACTCCTAAATGACAGTGAATTGAGCAGTGAAATTGCAAGGGAATGATCTATACACTAAAACTGCTTTATTTAGCTAAAGTAATTTAGGTGACTATAGTGTTCCTTTAATGGACTGGTTCACTAAAATCCCACTTACAGAGAGCTCTATATTTGAAAAGATTCACAGGTTGATTTATCAGAGGATTTCAAAGTGAATTTCAAATTGAAAGGGACCCTCTACCCCCAATTAAAACATGTATGCATTTAATTATGATTTTTTGTTATTGTGGTATATCTAAAAACAGCTTGCAAAAGCTGCAGTTTTCTTGTCTGTAGCCTTTGCAAGCCCTTCCATTTTAACCCCGCCCAGACATTCTATGTCTGTCCAATCACAGAATTTCCAATGCAGCTCAATGAAACGTATTTGCAAGGTATGTCTCAGTATGACTGTCACGGGTGGCGGAACGGAAACCGGGACCCCTGAGTGCCTGAAGTGGAGATGAGCGGAGCCTTCAGCGAGGTAATGGACTATCAGGGCCTGGTGCAGGGTAACCGTACGCCCCCTGGTGTTGAGCACCAGCTTTTGTGCGGCCACAAACCAAGACCCTGTAGTAGCATAGTGGAAGCCAGAGCAGATGAATGCTAGGATGTATCCAGTATTAGAAACAAGGCAAGACTAGAACAGGGACCAAACATGAAAACAAGACAGAACTAGTAGAACCCCGAACCAGAGAAGGATAGGAAGCTAAACCCAGAACATGTACACAATACATAAGGGAACATTAACTAAACAGCGGCAGGACTGGACAGGACTGTACATGGACTGGGAATACAAAATAAAACAAGACAAGATATGATAGGCAAAACAAGAGGAGACATAACTAAGCACTATATATGAAAAGTATGGGGATTTAGTTACATTATATGATCATACCTTGAATAAGCCTGCCACAACGCCAATGTACCCCATATCTGGCAGGTCCTACACTGCCTAATGTTCGCTAAAAGAACCATACTAAACCACAATAGCACTTACCTGCAAGAAAGGGCAGAAGGCTTGAGCAGCTGCCTGCAGGGTACTGAAACAAAAGGAATGGTGGAAAACAAACGGGTGTAGCAACATAAAACAAACATTTAAAGGAAACCTGGAAACTGGGAATTACAGGAATGAACCCAGAAAATCCCAGCATAAAGAAAACCAGACATAGAATAGAAAACAAAAAAAAACAAGAAAAACTAAACAAGAATTGTAAAAAGAGTACTGGATACCAGAAGCCAAAGCCAGACATCTCCGCAGAATATGGCATGATGTAACAGACAGTGTCTGTATGTCTCAGCATGACTGTGTCTGTACGTCTCTATATGACAGTGTACTTGTATGTGTAGATTGTACTACTGTGTGCCTGTATGACTGTGTTTGTTTGATTGTGTGCCTGAATAATTCTGTGTGCCTGTTTGCTTGTGTGTTGCTATCTATATCTATATGGCATTGGAGGAAAAAGCCTCAGAAAGGGCCTGAAGGAAAGAATGAGATGCATAAAGAAGGTGGGGTGAGGGTGGAGGGCGAAGAGACACACAAAGGGGCTAAGGGAAGTAAGAGACACACAAAGGGGTGTAAGCAGGGTTAGAGTCCTGCAGGAACACATGGGAATGGCGTTCCTGCACTTTTTCCATAGCTGGAACGCAGTTCCCGTTACTAGTCCTGCAGGACCCAGGGCTGGCACAAGCGACCGCCAGAGCAGAGGGGCAGCACAAATCTGAATCCCCTGCCTCTGGTTCTGGCCCTGCCTCTGGCTCGGGCCCTGCCTCTGGCTCGGGCTCTGCTTCTGGCTCTGGCCCTGCCTCTGGCCTCGGCCCTGCCTCTGGCTCCGGCCCTGCCTCTGGCTCGGACTCTGGCCTTGCCTCTGGCTCGGGCTCCAGCCCTGCCTCTGGCTCGGTCTCTGCTTCTGGATCTGGCCCTGGCTCCGGTCCTGCCTCTGGCTCCGGTTCTGTCCCTGCCTCTGGCTCTGGCCCTGCCTCTGGCTCTGGCCCTGCCTCTGGGTTCGGCCTTGCCTCTGGCTCTGGCCCTGCCTCTGGCTCTGGCCCTGCCTCTCTCTCTGCACTTTTTCCACAGCTGGAACGCAGTTCCCGTTACTAGTCCTGCAGGACCCAGGGCTGGCACAAGCGACCGCCAGAGCAGAGGGGCAGCACAAATCCGAATCCCCTGCCTCTGGCTCGGGCCCTGCCTCTGGCTCTGGCCCTGCTTCTGGCTCTGGCCCTGCCTCTGGCCTCGGCCCTGCCTCTGGCTCTGGCTCCGGCCCTGCCTCTGGCTTCGGCCCTGCCTCTGGCTCGGGCCCTGCCTCTGGCTCTGGCTCCAGCCCTGCCTCTGGCTCGGGCTCTGCTTCTGGCTCTGGCCCTGGCTCTGGTCCTGCCTCTAGCTCTGGCCCTGCCTCTGGCTCTGGCCCTGCCTCTGGCTCTGGCCCTGCCTCTGACTCCGGCCCTGCCTCTGGCTTCGGCCCTGCCTCTGGCTTTGCCTCTTGCTCCGGCCCTGCCTCTGGCTCTGGCCCTGCCTCTGGCTCTGGCTCTGTCCCTGCCTCTGGCTTCGGCCCTGCCTCTGGCTCTGGCCCTGCCTCTGGCTCAGGCCCTGCCTCTGGCTCTGGCCCTGCCTCTGGCTCTGGCTCTGCCTCTGGCCTTGGCCCTGGCTCTGCCTCTGGCTCGTGCCCTGCCTCTGTGTCCAGCCCTGCCTCTGGCTCGGGCTCTGCTTCTTGCTCTGGCCCTGGCTCTGGTCCTGCCTCTAGCTCTGGCCCTGCCTCTGGCTCTGGCCCTGCCTCTGACTCCGGCCTTGCCTCTGGCTTCGGCCCTGCCTCTGGCCCTGCCTCTGGCTCTGTCCCTGCCTCTGTCCCTGCCTCTGACTTCGGCCCTGCCTCTGGCCCTGCCTCTGGCTCCAGCCCTGCCTCTGGCTCTGGCCCTGCCTCTGGCTCTGCCTCTGGCCCTGGCCTACTCCACTCCAGATCCTGCAAGGTAAGGGAGGTTTTTTTTAAATCAGACCCTCCTCAGTTCCTGTCCCTTCTCAGCCCATGTCCTGCTCCTCAGTCCCTGTCCCCTTACTCAGCCCATGTCCCGCTCCTCAGCCCCTTCCTTAGTCCCTGTCCCCTTACTCAGCCCATGTCCCCCTTCTCAGTACAGCAGTCTTCGCGTTCGGGATACTTCCGGGAGGCGGGGTTTGCATGGTGACGTCAAGTCAGATGACGCGTTTCGTCGAATCAATGGCTTCCTCAAACTTGACGTCACCACGCAAACCCCGCCTCCCGGAAGTATCACGACCACGAAGACTGCTGTACTAGGAAGGTGCATGTAATACTTTTGCAGGCTGGCAACTGCACGCGTCCAGAAGCAAGCTTGTTCTTCCAGAAGAGACCCAGGTGAGATTTATTTTTATCTGTCTTCAATAAAACTGTTCACTTGTTTCACTGGCCAGAGTGGAAGTTTTTACTTGGGCTGTCAAAGTTTGGAGAAGACTCATCTGCTCTATATTTGTGAGCTTATCTCACCAATAATTTTATCCATTTATTTTACATCACACTATATTTGTTTTGTTCCTTTTATGTTCCTATATTTGGAGATGTGATTTAACTGAAGAGTTGCTGCTAGTGTAAGTTGTTATTTTTATGCACAATATCACTTTAAGTGGTTCCTGAAGCTTACACTGAGTTGGTTATTCACACAGATTGATGTATATGTGAATAAGAGTGTTGACACAGATTGTTGCACTTTATGACAATTCACTGTTTCTGCATGTTTATGCTACTATATGATTTTGCACTTTAACCCCTTAAGGACACATGACGGAAATATTCTGTCATGATTCCCTTTTATTCCAGATGTTGTGTCCTTAAGGGGGTAAAGTACAGCGCACCTTTTTTTCTGGTTTTTTTTTCTCATATAGAAAATGATTCATACTCCCTCCAGCAAACTGCTGTACACCTCTGCATTCACACACATACTGGTTGATTTCACAAGTACACGCATGCACACCCCCTAACACTAAGACATTGGGGTGTATAAATCTGAATTCACTATGGGGGGCATGACAAAGATACTGTGTGCATCACTGGAGATGTGCTAACGGGTGAGTCGTGCCCAATAAAGGGGATATGATTGCATGCCAAGCTGGCTGCCTGAACCATTGTTAAATAGGTTTTTCCTCACAAATTATACATTTGCTGGAAAAACTGCTCGCACAATGTATAAACAAACTTTAATGCTCTTTCAAAAGAGTAAACTTTGTAACAGCAATGACCGGTACCATTTAAATTAGCAACACATAATAGAAGTACGCAGATTCTGTGCAACAGAAGAACGCACATTTGAGGAAAAAAAAAAAAAAAGAGCTCATTTTTATATAACTGAAGAGAACAACAATTTGTAGCACTGATTCAACCCAAGTTCATTGCCCTTCAGTTCAGGTATTGCTAGTGTCATTATCTGGTTCCCTGAAACTTAAATGGTGGGTGGCATTGCAATGCTCCATCTCTGTGAGCCTGGAACATAAAGGTTAAACGTACCTGTAAGTCGTGTGAATACAGCAGGTATCCTCTCAGGAAGACCCAGTAGATGTTGTTGAGAAGTGACGGTCCAGGCAGATCATCAAATGTCTTCAATTTCTTTTCCCCCTCTGCTACCCCTGCTGCAGCCCCTACTATGGTCCTGTTCTGGGTCCCAGTCACCCTGCATGTCTGCAGCAGCAAGAAGCCCCTTCTCCTGCCCAGAGACTGCCAGCAGCGCAGGGATGCAGGAGTTAACATGTCTGGGTATTCAGAATAGCTTTTCCTGATTAGTTACAAGGTGTTCCAGCAATCATGGCGTCTATACTCTGACTGACAGTAAATAGAAACTCCTACTAGTTAAATAACATTGTCACTCCTCCCACAGTGAAAATGGCCCTTATTCCAGTGCACAGAATTCAGCTTTTACCGTGTGACGAACCGGCACAATGTATTATTTGTTTATCATTGTTTAATAGATAGAAGACATTCAGAATCAAACTTCTCGTGTTTCCTTCTGCATTCTGCTCCCCTCCTGGCCCCTCGGATAAACAGTGTCTGTGCTCTGTGTGTTTTGTTTTTTACCAGTTTGATCGCTCTGTTGTATAATTTGCAATTCGCATGTCCGTGTCGCACTGTTTAGTAAGTTAAAGCCCTTGGCTTGGAGGGATCCAATCTAAATTCTAAACATTTGGCAACCTCACAATATTAACCCCTGCACTACCAGACACTGTGTGTTTGAAAACATAACATTTATTTGAAACATTGAATACATAGCTATCACATAAACATGTAATAAAACAGCAGTTCTGTGTATTCGGTGGGGCTCCCTTCTTCCCCTTTCAGTATACATTCAGACCTCAGACTGCAGTATGGGGGTCCCTTTTTCCTCTTTTTCTAGGATGATCCAATCACAGCAGCCCTACAAAAAGCAACAGGGCGCTCAGGGCCGGATTTGCCATGAAGCCATAGAGGTCACAGACTTAGGGGGAGGGGCAGCCGTTTCTCCTGTCATGGGTCTAGGCGAGCTTGCGGGACTGTTGCTCCATATTGTATCACAACGCTTTGATAAAATCTCCTGGTGTTGGCCGGAAGGTGCTGGCTGCACACTACAGTCCCTGTCATCCCACTATAGCCCCTATTTCCCCACCACAGTCCCCGTCACACCCACCATTGACCCTATCCCCCACTACTCCCACTATCTCCCCACTACAGCACCTGTGCCCCTTTTTCTCAAGCACATCCTATTTCCCCTTCAACAAACACATAACAGCCACTGTCTCCCCAACAAAGATGATTGTAGGAACCGCACTCAACCCCAGCAACCACCGGGGCTCCGGAACAGGACCAGCAATCCCAACACGTCAGGCAAAAAAATACATTTCCAAGCACTCTAGTGTTAAAGCCACAGGCAGATTTTAATGGAACAGAAAGAGCAGCAACGTTCCGACCTTCACAGAGGTCTTTCACAGAAGTCTTTTTCAAGCTTGAAGGTTTTTTTAATAGAATATTTTTTTAACAACTATCAATATTTATGACGTAAAGAAACAGGATAAGCTGTAAAGGGAATGTTTAAAGGACCACTTTGGACACCATAACAAGATCATCAGAAGGAAGTAGTTATGGTGTGAGGAGGACCTGGGTGCTGGCTTATCTTCAGGCCTTAAACTATCCCGGAATGGTTCAACTCCAGTTTTCAATATCTGAAAAGTCAAATCTAAATGAGACCAAAACAGCTATTTGATATATTTTTGTGAATTTCCTTTTAGCGATATTGGAGAGTTCTAAAGTATTTTGGAATTAATGGCATCCCCTGCCTTGGAATCCTCATGACTCGTATAAAATAAAAGGGCAAGTATAATTCATAAAAATTTTTCATTTCTTTCCTTTTGCAAAATTTGTAGCATGTACCATGATGAAATTCAGTCAATCTATATTAAGCATATACTGTATCTCCAATGGATTATAATTCTCGAATATTTATAAAATTTCCCAGGATTCAAAGCAGCAATCCAGCTTGAGAATACGACCTCTTTTGCAGGTTCTCCTTCTATCTTGCACAGAAAGAAACTCTGATACACCTAAGGAGATACTTCAGATCTGTTGAGACAGGAGAAAAGTCTGGTCTCAGTGGTGCCTGTGTTAGAGCTGTTGTAAAAGAGAAAACTTTATCCTCTCCCCCAAGGGACAAGTCATCCGATACATCAGAACAGTCCTCTGGGAAGGAGGCCATGTTGGGCTCAAGAGCACCATGTGCTTACTGCATAAACACTCCTGTATTCATACCCATCTATGGTTTTTCATGTTTTTGTTTCTTGTTCTTGTGACCCATAGTACAACTGCAGACCATGGAGTCCAGCATTGACCCACAAATTAGGGCTACAGAGCAGTAAAAGAGGATACATATATAACTTTGTCTCGGAGCACTCAGTAAGTGCGACCATTCACTTCAGTTAAGCTCACTCTACTGGTCTATAACTGCACTAAGCTTTGTCTTTAAAACAAACAAACAACCAGACAGGGTTTGTTCAGGGTAGACAGGGCCTGGACAACACAAGGAAGCTGTCGCTGGTTCTATACCAAATGAGGAGGTCCGTTAGCCATAGATCATAGATGAAGAAAAGGCGCTTGACCGTCTCGGCTGGACCTTCTTACGACAGGCTATTCTAGGTTACGGATTTCAATATCAAGGTAGTACAACACTGTACTCCACACCCACTCCTCAGGTCTCACAAGCAGGGTTTCTATCTTCCCCAATTCGGGTTTCCAATGGTACGAGGCAGGGCTGCCCACTGTCCCCCCTCCTTTACATGCTGGCGCTGGAACCACTTCTACAGCACATAAGGGCTCATCCATAAATACACGGGCTCAAGATACTGGACCGACAGATAAAAATTAGCGCATTTGCTGATGATATATTACGGTACATTTCTGATCCCTCAGCATCCCTACTTGCACTAAATCAGCTCATCAAGTCATATGGGGCACTGTCCTATTACTCACTTAGTACCAGCAAAACTCATAGGTATTCCAGCCTTAACACTGCAGTGATTGAGATCCACTTATGATTTTGATTGTAAGAGAGACACTATCAAATATCTGGGGCTAATTGTTACTAAGAACCCCGCTGATTTGGCCCCTGCAAATTGTATAGCAGTATGGAAAACATGTCATCAACTACTGAAAAATTGGACCCCCTTATTCCTCACTTGGAAGGAGCGAGTGATAGCGTTCAAGATGTCTTTACTCCCCAAATTATATCTCTTCAGAATGCTCCTCTTCTCTTTGAAAACGGTCAGCTCTGACTTGAACAAATTAATCTGGCCAGGGGATAAGCCCAGAGAGTCATGAAAGCTAATGCAAGCATCCACCAAGCAGGGAGGTCTTGTGGTACTGTCAGGATTTCTGTAGATGCCCAACACGCAGAACTTAAGTAGAAAACAAGAAAATACCTAAGACGTATTACCGGGCCTTAGAATGGCCGGATTTAACGTAAAAAGGCAAAAAGATACAAGATAGGGAAAAGCCAAGACAAAGGTATAACGCAAATAATAAACAAGCCAAAGGTCAAGGAATGGAGAAATCAGAATAGTCAGGAGCAAAGCCAAAAGTCAAGGAATACAGAGATCGGATAATCAATAAGGGAAGCCAAGGTCAGATACACAAGGAAACAATACAAGGAACACACTCTCGGATAACCAGCTGGAAACCACGACAGGGCACTGAGAAATGAACAAACAAGGTTTAAATAGCTAAAGGTGTTTCCTGATAGGCTGTAGGGAAACATGTGATCAAGCTTGTGTGTAACACACCCAAATTAAAGTGATTGATCTGGCCCTCTAAGGGTTAAACAGGAAACCCTTTATTATTCACAGCAGCAGCGGGCGGCGCCCTTAATGATACAGAGCTGGCTGCTGAGAGAGGAGAGGTCACCTCTGGTGAGTGTTTGGCAGTTTTACTCTTAGTTTGTGGGAATACCGCTGTACCGATATGCACCCGCGGGGACACGTGCTGCCCTCTGACAGGCGGGCGGCGTGACAGTACCCCCTCCCTAAAAACCGCCCACCGGGCGGGAAGGGGCCGGCTTATCGGGAAACCGGCATTATCAGGGGGCAGCAAGCGAGCAGCATGAACGCCGGGGGCCGGAACCCACGAACGCTCCTCCGGACCATAACCCTTCCAATGGATTAAATACTGCAACACACCCCGCAACCTTCTGAAGTCTACAATCGCCTGGATCTCATACTCCTCCTGGCCATGAACTGACACAGGCAAAGGACGGAATGAGCGCCTAGTGTAGCGATTGCACAACAAAGGTTTAAGCAGGGATACATGAAACACATTGGGGATACGCCATGCCGGAGGTAGCGCCAAAGCGTAAAACACCGGATTAATTTTCTTGGAGATCACATATGGGCCGATGAACCTGGGTGCCAACTTCATGGTCGGAACTTTCAACCGGATGATGCGAGTGGAAAGCCAGACCCTATCTCCAACAACATAATTAGGTGCCATAGAGCGACGTTTGTCAGCATAGACCTTATGACGAGAGGAGGCCAAAGACAAAGCATGCTGCACGTGCTTCCACCTCTCTTGAAGATCGTGGAGGTGGCAATCAAGAGCATGTAAACCAGTCTCACGAAACTTCGAGGGAACAACAAGAGGATGTCTACCACTAGTGATTTAAAAAGGACTATGCTGGGATGAATCATGAGTAGTATTGTTATGCGCAAATTCAGCATAAGACAAGAGATCGTGCCAGTTTTCATGGTTGTGTGAAATGAAACATCTCAAAAATCCCTCTATTGACTGGTTAACCCTTTCAGTAGCCCCGTTGGTCTGGGGTGATATGAGGAAGAAAAAGACAATGTAACTCCAAGTTCAGAACAAAACTTCCTCCAAAATCTGGAAATGAACTGAGTCCCTCGATCTGACACTATTTCTTGAGGTAACCCATGTAACCTGTAAATCTCCCTAATGAAGATCTCAGCTAATTCAGCTGAGGTGGGGAGCTTACGAAGAGGGATTAAATGAACCATTTTCGAGAAACGATCTACCACCGTTAAAATGGTAGTATACCCCCTGGATGGAGGTAGACCGACTACGAAGTCCATAGCAATGTGGGACCAAGGTGTTTCAGGAACAGGAAGTGGCTGTAAGAGACCACATGGTAGTTTACGAGGGATTTTGGTTACAGCGCAGACGATACATGCCTGGGCATAATCAGTGACATCCGTATGCATAGAAGGCCACCAAAACTG